TGGTTGTTTACTTGTCTCAACGCACAAGATTCAAACAGGGCTAGGCAGTTAATTACAATGCACTTGACTTAGTAATGTGTACGACCCAGACTAGAGTCTGAATGTTCTGTTGCCTTGAGAGTAAATCTATTGAAGGATTTTAAGACTTTATCTTGTTATAGCTCTTCACTGACTTAAACTTGGTTCATATCAAACTGAGTAGACAACCCTGAACTTATTTTCATGTCAAAAGAGAAAAAACACAGAATGTGTATGTCTGCTAGCTGTCAGCTGCTACGTGGTGTGTTCAAGTGCAACTCCCTCAGTGGGCATTTGTGTGTGCTTGTTATTTGAGGTCAATCCGGTGTGTCAGAGCCTGAAGGAAAATTACTTTGTCACTCTTACAGAATATCCCCAAGCAACAGCCCTAAATTTCACACAACATTGCCAATGACAGATGTATTAATCGTCGCACACAATTTGACATGTTATAGATTTTACAAAATGAATGTTATCACAAATCCCTGCCTGGTACTCCTACAGCGGCCCAATCTCCGTGGTTAAAGGGAACATGGATAAAGTGGCAGAGCACACTGAGTCCTTAGCACTAGAAGTAGTCTGGAACTGAGCATGTCCCAGAGTGGATTAACAAGAGTTTATCAGCCTTGGCACACTGTGGCACTCGTTGCTCATGCACTGCTGTGGATAAGTGTCTGCAGAGAGCGCAGAGTCCTTGGCTTTGGTCAATAACAGCCCTCGGGGTACACAAGGCGATGGTCAATTATAAAACGCTGAAACAGTTTCTCGTCAATATATTCACGGTCACAGTCTGATCCACTGTGTATTTTGTAAACACTCCAGTGGATCACCTTGTGAATTCATATTTTTCTTTCATTTATTTTCTATTTTCTGGATTTGTATATATAATGTTATGGCATTTAAGCTGCTATTTATGTTTGAAAGGAGCTTCATACAAGTTTATTTTCCTCCATTTTACTTTTTCTTTCTCTTATAGTATTTATTTATGATTGTTGCAGTTATTATGAGAGGATGAAGATTTTAAAAAGCAGGCATGGTCAAATAGAAATGGTCTGCACTTTAAATCAACTTGCACGCACACTTTCTATGGATTGGATAACCATCACATGTCCAGCTCTTGATCAAGCAATAGCCTTAAGCGACATACGTTGACTAAAACATAAAACCTTTGGCCTGTAATTTTGGAAATATACCTATAAGCTGGTTTGCAACCGTAATAAATTTCACGAAGAAAGACGAGCAACGTAAATCCCCAGGTGTTTACGTCATGATAATGGGCATGTGCAGGAACAATGAAGAAGTAAGCACGTTTAATTGGTCACACGGCGCAATTTTTTTTCCCATGAATCAGTTCTTGAAAAGTTTCAAACTAACCCCTCTGCACCCGGTTCAACATGTTTTAAACTCCCTGAGGTGTTTTATTTTGCATTTTGATTCGTCTTGGGCTTTTAAAATAATAATAATGGGAGTAAAGTGGGCTTTAAGTTACCATGGAGATATAACAGTGTTGGATTAAATCATTTAACAAGGATACTTAATGATACAGAGTATTGAATAAAAACTGTCATAAATAGAAATGAGTCAATGTCTCCTAAAGAGATTCACTACAGTTTGTTATCATATTTATCAGCCTGTTTAAAGGTTTAAAGGATATCGAGTTCTTCCTCTTCAGAAAAACATCCTCTCTCATTTATGGAGGACTTATTATTTCTACCTGTAGTAGTTCAAACTCTTATCACTAATATTGTAAAAAAAATGTCTTGCCCACGTAATGGAAGCTGCTGCATTTCATTTAACATTCATGGCATAAGTCAAGGATATTGCGGTCAGTTATGTGACAGTTTATACTGAGAATGAAAAACAGCTCCCATACGGAGCCTTAAGGTAGAGCGAGGCTTTTTGGTCATGCTACATGCTTGTCCAAACAAAGTTGAAGGCTTTTAACACACTGCAATGTTTGACAATGACCATCTGGCCCCGAGCAGCATGAGGGGAACATGTGGCTGAAAGGTGCTATCATCAAGTCCTTTTCAAGAATAACAAAATGAACATAAACTGCGCACAGAAAAAAAAACATGTTTGGAGGTTTTCGCAACATCAACAAAAAAAATATTTTGAATTTGTTTGTGTGCATTTTTTTGTAAACATTTTTGCTTTTAAGGTGCACTATGTAGATTTTGCAGTGAAATTTTAAAGTTGGAGAAGTGAAACACTTCTATGCTATATTTTCTGAACTAAATATGCAAAATGAAAAAATTGGAAAAAATTGGTCCCTGGAACACTGTTTGGAGCTAAAAAGCTACCAGGATAGTTACAGTTTCACTGTTGCGGGCCCCCCAATATAAAATCTCACGTAACAAATTTTCCTCTGAGGACAGAGTTATGAACAAATACAACAGAATCTGTACATTTCTCTACCAAAACTCCATGGTGCACCTTTACACTAATGATTTTTGATAAAGTAGGTTTATCTGTTTCTTTTAATGAGAGCTTTAAAGGAAACTTTAAAACAAAAGTTGTGGCATCTAAAATGTTTGTTTAGTGTAGAATATAACCAACTCGTCTTAACCTTCCTAAATATGTCTAACCACTTTTTTTAATCACTAAAGATGAAGTTGCATGAACTGATGAGTATAGGTGATATGCATTTTTAAACATGTGTATCAGCACATGAATGCAGGGATTCCTCAAATCAATATAAGAAGTGTACTGTGTTGTGATTTTTTTTGTTTTGCTTTAAAGCTAAATTAACCTCATTAACTCCTACTCTGTTTTACTTTATTCAAAAAATGAAGAAAAGTTGTGATGACACTGAAAATCCTTTCCCGCTGAGTTCTCCATGTCACCTCATAAAGGGTCAAAAACAACCAAATAAGTAAACATTTCTTTTCACCACAAAAGCTCTGACACTGCACTGATACATGACTCTATCAGATGTCTGATTATCCATGAAGTAAAATGTGTTTAATCCTCTTCCTAGATAAATTCAACGGTGCCAGAGACCTGCCAATGTTGCTGATTGGAGGTCGATAAAAAGTCATAGATTCCTACAACCTCCCTTTAAATTCAGCCTCTGGTGACACATTGTTCTGCAGCAGGTATCATGAATCATTCTACTCAAATCTGATCTGGATTACTGGTTGCCATCAGCAGCTGTCATGGATATGTACCTCCAAGATTAAGAGGTGTATTTATTTATGTATTCTCCTCAGTGAACCTACTTGCCTGTGGCACTACGAGGTGTTGGCACTACGAGACATTGCTTTCTAGCAGTCTGCATTAAAGCGATGAGAACGTGTGTGAAGGGAGGCTGAGAGGAAATAAAAACATCTTATTTATAAGCAATTCTTAAACGCATAGTATGTAACATCCGCCGCCAGGGCTCTCTCAATCAAAACAATAACAAAAGCTGACGTTGAGGCTTTGGGACTCTCAAAGCTCCTCCCTCCCACCCGGTGAAAACGAACTCCGTGTCGACCGTATTCGATACAAACGGCTGAAACTGACCTGAGAAAGACGATATGTTCACTTACGATGTATCCAAGTATAATTTACAAAAATCACAGCAGCTCATACGGGAACAGTACTGCAGCTTTTAGCAGCAGCTCATGCTTCCTTATGCAGCGGTCTTTGATATAACATCTGGTGTTTCCTTGGCAACGATAAACATTTCGTGTCTGTCATGGCGGCTCATCATGGCGGCTGCCGCGTCAGGTCAAGTCCCGTTACAACTGTAAAAATTATAGATTTCTCTGGCTTTGATAACTGTTGGAAATATTTGAAGTAATGTAAGTACTCAACTAAAAAAATATATAACATAGGCTTAGTCAATTTTTTATTAATTTAGATATTTGAATGTAAACATTGTCATAACATTCTGCATATTATACCTTTAAATGCACTCGGTTGTAGCAACAAAACAAACATGGCTTGGTCATTAGATGGCAAACTGTGCCATCTCTATTTGATTTTAAATAGTAAGCATTGTCTTTTATCCCTTTGTGAAAGTGGTAACAGCTGTTCGCGTAGCTCCTGGGAAGGTCGACTCTTCAACTGTGAGTGAAAGTTGCAAAAACATGCAGTCAGAGAAACACTTTGTACATTTTTCAAATACAAAATCAGAAACCTTATCAAAAGACAACGATGTTGAACAGATTGTTTATGTGCCTTTTTTTGCACATTTTGCAACCATAGCATGTTTACATGTTGGTTACTATGGTTACAACGAATCTACAGAATGGAAAGGTTTAATTAAGGCTTCACGTAACTACTTCTAAAGACTCAGAGAAAGAAAGATTATAACAAACTTATTGATTAGATGTCTAAAACAGAAACCTTACTTTCTACCACTTTGATTGAAGATGCAGTACTACTCCTCACTTGGCACTAAATGTTGTTGTTGAGTTAAAATTGTGCCCTACAGAATGTCCAACCAAACAATCTTGTTAAGTAATGATTACTCGTTTTTTTTGAATGAAGTAAAAACTACACCACAGTACTTACAAAAATGTTTTAAGAAAACATTTCAACACTTCAAACCAACCGTAGCGCTCAACTCTGCAGAGTGTCATTAATCTGTCATTACTTGCCGCCCTAGTTTTCAAAATCATAACACATGTTATGAAGCAGCTTGGTGTTTTTTTAAACACATTTCACACTGCCTAAGTACACACTTCAGACATATTTCAATAGGACCATTCCTTAGATAAAGAAGAAATGTACATCCAGCATGATCATGAAGACATTTCCCTCTATACTATAGAAACCCTTACGTTTCCTCTGTCCCCCTACCAGAGCCCACAGACAGATGTGAAGTAAATTACGCCCCCTCTTCACCCCTCCTTCTGCCAGCCCCTCTTTCCACTGAAAAGAAAGAAATCATTCACTTTCAGTCTTTTTTTTTTCACCCTCCTCCCCTCTCTTCCCCCTCCCTGCAGAAAACAGGGGCACACAGACAGACACACTCTGCAGCCAAACCCTAATTGTGTGTGCATGTGTGTGCATTTCTTCCCCCTGACATTAAGAAGGAAAGCGAGTGAGTATTCTTTCTCTGAGCTTGTGAATGGCTGTCCTGAGCTGTTTGAGACGTTTTGCCTGACTGAAAAGTGGAGGTGGAGGTGAATTAAGCTGTGGAGAATCACAGGATTTTGGTAAGTTTGGGTTTTTGATTTATTAAACTTGGTGGATAATGGGAGGATGGACTTTTTTTCTGCAGGAACTTCACTGTTTTAAGTGGAAAAATATGACTTAAATATACAAGTTAATATAAGACCACCACAGATAATTACCCTATAGATAACCTTCATCTATGACAGATGGTGTTCATGAGCATGTCGACATATGTGTGAATATGCATAGGTGTGGGTGTGTGTGTGCAAACACTCCTGTACTTGTCTCTCTAATTACTATGCTGCCAAGTATGTTTCCACCTTACATGATTACCTTCGAGGCCCATGAACCTGCAAGGCCTCTCTGTGCTCTTCTGACTTATTGCCAAGGACCTAGTTGTCATAGCAACACAGAAGCAGTTGAGTGTTGTGACACCTGTGCAACACACCTGTTCAGGCTTTGACAAGAGGGGCCAGAGGGGCTGAGTGTCGGATACACAGAACGTACTCAGATTAGCTCCGAGCAACAGCTAAAGATGTGAGCGAGGATCTAATTCACAACCACAGGGCTGGAAAAACTAACATTTTGTTAAAAACAAAATGTGTAAATGTTAATGTAACGCTCAAAACCATGTTGTTCTGTTAATATCACTATTTAATATTAATTCTAATGATCTCAAAGTGGAAATAAATACTAAAACACCCAATAAATGTAGTTTAAAGAGGTCACCTTGGGCTTACACACTTTTGTGAGGGTTCTTCTTATATATTTCTTATACAGCTTTTTAGCTAAAAAAATTAATTGAGAAAGCTGTCTGCAAATGTATTAATAATCAGTTCTGTAGCGTTTTTCAATCAAGCTGCAAATATAATTCATAATTTCTTCAACTTAAGCATATTTTAAGTGTCATTGTACAACCTTGTGCAAGCTTGAAATTGTCTCAGCTATGTTACAGCATTGTTCTGGAGGTCTAGTTTACAACATGAATATTAGAATAAATCTGATTTATAATTCAGTTGTGCATAAAACAACTGATCCCTGTTAATCACACTGCTGTCACGAGAAGCACTACTATGAGTACACTTCATTATGTTCTCATTTTGAAGATGGCAAACAAGAACTTAACTACCTGAATGTTCCTCTGATCTGATTGGTCATGAACTGATTTTACTAGTGCAGGAGAGCGTCTTGCTATTTTCAGCCCAAAGAAAAGTCAGCTTATAAACGACACTTCACAATGACAGCTCCTTCACAGTGAGGCCAAGAAAGGGCAAAACGGGCCACAGAGCGTCTCAAACTCACACACTGTTTCAGCGAAAGCAGAAGACGCCAGTGGGTGAGATTGTGCAGATATTCTCCAAAGGCAACTTCTGCCAGTCTGTGACATAAAGAGGAGCATGTGTGGCTTCAGTTAGAGACTGAATTAATGTCACTAAAATGTCCTTTGACTTGTGCCTTTTACTGCAGCAGAGGGGAGTGAACACAGAGACAGTAAAGCTCTATTTTGAGATGGATTACATCTCCATTTGGCTGTCTGTTGTCATTAAGCTGAAACTGTTGTCACTCCACGCCATAAGGTTTTGATTTATAAAAGTCCAAACGAGCTCGGAGCAGTACAAAGTTTTGAACATGCAGTTGTGCAGCTATTAAGGACATTCAAATGTCTTTGAAGAGACATTAAAGTCTATTCTAGAGTCCCCTAATATCAGGTTACAGTTAATTCACCTAAAAGTGTGTTTTCTAAATCTTATTCCACAAAAAATGGACTTTTATAAAGGTTTGCTTTAATATTTGATCACTTACATTTCATCAACATTGATTAGTTACAGGAAATGAGCAGATATCGATTATAGGATGTGAATGCTCACAAGTGAATCATATCTGTAACAAACCTTTTTTGTTAACAATAACGTGTCGCATCTAGAGAAAGTCACGTGATCTATCTATGTCAGTCTGTTCAAATGTATTGTCAGTCAAAAGAAAAAAGCAAACTTATCACTCTGACATCAGGATTACAAAGCTCCTGGATTGTGTCTGGATTGGTTTGAAGGTTTCTTTAAACGTCTCTTGTTTCAGCTGCTGTAACATATGTGAGGTCATTGTTAAAACGAATCAGAAACAGACAGAGAGAGACAGAGAGAGACAGACAGACAGACAGACAGACAGACAGACAGACAGACAATCAGAAGCCAAGAGTTGGTTGTTTTTTTTCCGGTTAAGGACAGACCACAACTCATCTTAAAATAAATAGACAATTTTACGGTGTCCGCTCTATTGAGCATGACTTGGCATTCAGTCCGTGCTTCTCCACAAAAACATGGCGATAGGTGCACGTCAACAAAATCTAATGCTCACTTCAGCTAGGAGAGGTTGAAGTAAGAAAAAACGGCTGCTGTAAAACCCTAAACCAAATGTGCTCTGACAGCAGAAAAAGCTCTGCAATTATTCCACTCAGATGTTTAAATACATAACCAGATGCAGAGGAGAGAGGCAGAAATAGCAAAAGTCTGCAGTTTAATAAAGTGACACTTTTGGCTGTTAAAGTAGCTGTTAAACACATGAAAGGGACAAACAAACCCTTCAACAAACTGTGTCACTTGTGAAAAAAAAAAACATTCACATATGAGCTTACAGATGCAACGCAAAAGTTCCCCCCCTCTCTGTTTTCTCAGGTGTTGTGAGGATTTACGAGGGGAATAGATGTTGAGAAAGAACTCCAGGACACTGCTGTTTACCAAAAACCAACACAAACACTGCTGTATGTCATTTTACAGCGAGAGACACAATTCATACCATTGCTTATTAGTGTCCCAGTAACAGAGTGTGAGGCTCCTCTACAGCTTCTGAACACAACACAGGCAACCCACAACTTTGTGACACATTTTTACAGAGATGGTGTTCGAAAACAATCCAATTCAAAGGCAGAGTTTAGAGATTTTTGTCATGTAGAGTTACAAACTAAATGTTTATGCTTATTATTTAAACATGAATTAACACTTAAAGTTGACATGCAAATACCACAGATCCTTACTTTGTTTAGATGAGTTAAAACAACTTCAATATGTTTAAGAAACATCATTTTGAGTATTAAAGTGTCTATAAAAATCCATCAAATTTTCATCATATTGGGATCTTAAAAGTTAAGTTGCTCATTTTGGATTTTATTGAATGTGACGACAGGATTGAAGTCTGAATGGCCTTGATGGGAATTTGTATAACATTAAATCAAGTAGATGGTGAAAAACAACGCTATAATTACAATGGGGTTAGTTTCTGTATAACAGGAGTAACTCAATTTCTCACAAATGTGTTCAGTTGCTCTTCAAGCTTTTAAATAATCAAAGCAGGTCATCGCAGACCTGCAATCATACTAACTCCATTATTACTGCTGGATTCTTCTTTAAAGGTCACATATTATGCAAAATTCACTTTACCATGGTGTGTCCTTTGTCTGTCTACAAAACCCCCAATTATGAAAATAGAAATAGAGGGGTTTATAATGCTGAACTACAGGAACAGAGTGGATTTTTAGAAAGAAACTTCACAGACATGTTTTGGGGAGCCCTGAGACTTATTTGAACTTGTTTAAAAGGAGAATAATATGTGACCTTTAAATATTTACAACATTTCTCACCATATATAATGTGCCGGTGACATATTTGTCAAGTTCAACAAAAAGGTAAATGTTAGCTGATAAACCATGTGTTGGTTTGAATTGATCTCAGCAAAAATATGCAATGTGACATTCAGGGTGTCACATTTTGAGCCACAATAACATTAAAGATTGAAATAGAATCTATTTCTATATTACTGAAAGGTACAGAGTGACGCAGAGAGTGACGACTGGGAAACGTATACAATAAACGTCGAAAGGTCACGAGACAAGTCTAGATCCCCATTATGCGTTTACGTCTTCAAGGGCAGCATAGGCATAAAACTCTCCACATTTCTGTTTGATTGAAATCAAACAACAAACAAATGGAGACACTTAGTACCATGGGAAACATTCAGATGAGACTTTTAACTGTGCTAATGTATCTCATAATCAGCCTGTGTTTGTCTTGACTCACAGCTGGAGTGTGTTTAAATGAACGTGTTTATGTCTGAACGTGTTTATGTCTTTGACTTGAAAAGGTGATGGTGGACAAATGAGGGCCCTCACTAAATATTCACTCAGCGTGCCAAAGTTCTGCAGAGATATTGACTTATTTTTACAGATGTTTTTTTTTTAACATGAATTCACTCTCTTTTTCATTTTAGCATTTTGCATTTTGAACCAAGGGCCAGTACAGATATTGAGTGAATAATTTACTTTTTTATAACTTGTATGCCATTTAGGCTTAATCAGGATTATAAAACATGCATTTCACTAAAAGCCCAAGTTTACAGAGGATCTGCTTACAGCATTACCTCAAAATGTGCAAATTTTGCAATGGCAGTAGGAAATCTCCCTAAGGGGGCCCCATCTTATGGCACTCACTCTCAATGCCCTGCTAAGCGTTGCATACCTTATTGCTGTGAAACCAACATTTTTCAATGAAGGAAAATTAAGAGGAATTGTCCGTCTGGGGGTGAAAAAAGAAAGAGGAAAAAAAATAATGAACACTGGCAGGAGGGGCCTCCAAATTTTTGCCTAGGGCCCCAACAGACCCTAGAATCGCCCCTGCAAGTTTACATATATATTTGTTATATAAGAAGATTGACTACCACATCTGTCTGTAAGCTAAAATGAAGAGCAAATTAAACAAAATCAAACTTCATGCCACCACTGGATGAGTCAGGGCACTAGTTGGGCAGACCAACTCAAAAGAAAGTGGCCCCTGCTTGCTAAACTAACACTCTTTCAAGCATGTCATGTTACTTTGGCCATCAGCATGACAGTCAGTTCTGCTGATGGGTCAAGTGAAGGACAGGAACTGAACTTTCACCCAGGTTCAAGTCACAACTTCTAAACGGCTACAATCTTTCCTACATTGTTCTCATCCACAGTGACAGACACTGCTTCATAGGATGAAAAAAGTATTTGAGACCGACTAATCCTAGAAACAACAGAAATAACATAAGATATTGCTGGAAGTTCCTGTCTGATCTGACCGTCTCTTAATTGTCTTAAAAGCGAGAACAGACTGTTTCTGTTGAGATTAACTCATAAACAGACAACACAGTGTGCCGCTCTCTCTCATTAGAAGTCAATATAGATTTCCCACTGACAATATCTTCCTCTCTCCCTCAGCTATAAATATGGATTTTCTTAAACAGAATCAAAATCACAGTGATGTGAAACATGGGTGATTGGTGAGTGAACACGTCTCTCACAGTATTGTACATTTTTTCAGAGAAATATCTTTAAATTAATACCAGTAGGATATGGTAAAAGAAAAGGAAACTGTTGTGGCTTCTTCAAGTAATAGGCTCAGACAAAATGTATATCCTGCCGCTGTGACTGAGACGAACCTTAAAGAACATATGTCAGTCAGTGTGAATCAAACTCACCCTCGGTAAGAACACACAAGCAGAGCAAAGACATGCTTAGGAAACATATATCTGACACTCATGCTCTAATGAAATGGACAGACGGCACATAGATTAAGTTAATTCCATAAATAGTGTTTTGTGCCTTTCTTTTGGAGGGCCAGGAGGTCGCGTTGGGGTGGCAGGCCACCACTCCAAATGAATAGTGGGGGAATTACTGAGAGTTGTATTAATCTTTTAATCTCAATTTTTGGCAAAGTGAAGCCAAAATGTCACCTTTTCACCTGCTGATTGAATACAATGAAGCTTTTTTTTTATAACCACTCACCTCATCTTCCTCCAGGTTACCATGGGATGTTGTTGGACACCCTTCATCCTGGCCTGGTTTTCAATAGCAACCCCCACACTCTGCCAAAGTGGAGATTGGGGTTCGGGCTTTGACATCTCCCCTGAGGTAACGGCCAGCAATGACACATCGCAGGCAGCAGGTGATGAGCCTGTGAGGATGAGAAACAACCAGGACTGGATCACATCAGCTGCTTTCTCACCATCACCATCACCCTCACCTTCAACTACACTGCAGTACGAGCATCAACCGGATAAGTGCTCGGTGTACTTCAACACTGATCCAGCTGTAGCTCGAAGGCTCAAGGCCCAGAAAGAGCATCTGGCCTATCTGCAGGCCATCCAGCACGGAAACAAGGCAGTGATGGAGAACCTGGAGCAGTTTGTTGGGGCAGAGCTGGGAGATCAGAACTACGAAGACGTGATAAAGGAGAATATCATCGGCATACAAGAGGACCAGAAGAGCTGCCACGAGGTGGTAGAGAAAGCTGAAGAAGATCTAGAAAAACAGCTGGAGGGGGAGGAGTCGGGGGCTCTCTCAGGCATGCAGAAGTGAGTGAAATATACCAGTTATACCAGGTTTGAAATATAAAGTGAGCAACCTAAGAAAGATCAAAGGCCTACGAAATAAGTTCAACACACCCAATCAATGTATTTTTCTTCCTTGGCTTCTCTTACCCTTACAACCAGGACCCTGTTAATGGGCAGCTCAGGTTTAAACTTGACACCTCACAAAAAGGAGAGGGGTCTTTGCAGCCTACAACTAAATGCAATCATGGAAAGGTCCGTAAGCAGCAAAGTGCCAATTCTTACAAAAAGCAAATATGGTCAGTATGAAGACCACATATTCTACGCTCAAATCATCACAGCTGCTTCATGCAGGAAGGTGTTATTATGGCGACCATGACAACTTAAGATCGATTCCTGATGTAGTGAAACCAACTTCAGAACAAACATTTAAATGAAACTATTGGTCATTAGCCTTAATTTTGTCACTTATAAGCACATCTAGTATGACGGTTTACTGCCTCAATGTGTCTTTGTTTTACAATGTTTGTAAAAAGCACAATGAATATCTTCTCCTACAAAGAAAAATCAGGAAATGTTCAGAGGAAATCCAAACTGTTTTGTTCTCTTTCTGTCTCACAGTACGCTTAGCTCCATGACAAAGACAACTTATTGGTCAGTTGTGCTTTTATACAATTTGATGTCTCATCCTAAACAAAACTTTCTCCAGAGGAGATAAGATGTGACTGACTATGCAGTGTCACTCTGTCAGAAGTGATCATGTCATAGCCCTGAAAACCCGGGGTTAAACATGAAGTTACCTCACAGGCCTCAGCACTTCAATTGTTTATGACTTACATAAACACACCATTATGGTAATAGAAAGAGCAGAATTGTGAGTGAAGATCTTGACTGATGGCAGAAATGGGCAATTTCATAGCATGGGAAGAAAAACTGCCATCTCATCCAGTATTTCGTAATATATGCACACGTCAATCAAAAGAAAATGAGAAAACAAATAACCCTGCATCATGTTTCTGCATGGATGCCTAAGGTTGTTTCAAGGCTTACATTTAGTTCTCTTTTTGCAAACAAATGTGTGGTAATTATTTAGAGAAATCAGAAACTAAATCCCCAAAACATGTGTCCCTAACTCAATATTTGTAGGTTTTTTTTCTTTTTAGCATTTTATATAATTTTTCTTCTACTTTACACAAACTTTTCCATTACATAACTATCTTTAACAACAACCATATGTGCCCCCTCCAACACCCAGATCCTGTTGATATGTTTAACATTGTAGTCTCTTCTTTTACTCACCTGTGTCTCTCTCTTCACATCTGTCCTTTTCACTCACGCCACCTGGACCTGGATTGTTCGTTTTCTCGAGAAGAATCCGAGAGGAGTCCTTGGCCTTTGACGACATGCTCCGTGCTGCAGCAGACATCGCCAACAGGCTGGAGGTCTCATCGCAGGCCCTGCATGCTGTGTTCACCAAGCAGCTGAAAGACATCGCAAAAATACACCGCTAAGAAATACTTCAAAAGACTTTGTGCCCTGCTCACGACATCATACAACAAGTGGGGGATGTTTGGTGTCCTGTGTGACACCTATGTTAGCACTTTGGGCTCCATGTTGTTATGTATGAAAGGTGCTGTATAAATAAAGCTGAGTTATGTTAAAACAACATTAACCTTCCCACAATTTTCTATTTAAATTCAAATCCATTGTGTCAGGGTAAACCATAACATCAACAAGGTTCAGTGGTACAGGAATGTCAATCTGTGAAAGATTAGAGAATATAGCAGGAAATAAAAGGTATATGCTCCATTTAACTGCAGAGATGACCTAGAAACCCCATAAAATAGCATTTTTCCAAGCACTATTTCAGGAGTTTAGTGAGGTCAAATGTGGAAACAGTTTGTGGTGCAGGTTTAAGCCAAGTTGAGAGTTTATGGATCAACTAGATTGGCCTTCAGAGAGCAAACAAAATGACTCTGTTAGTCTCTTCCAGAAGAGCTGTGCATCGACCATCTGGTTCTGGGGTGAGGATGGGGGCCAGGTTACACTGAGGATAAATGGTGTTTTCAAATGAAGATTTGTTTTTCACACACATACACAAAAACAACAAGAAAGCGAAGGGCAATGTTGTACTTTTTTTTTTTTTAGGAAAACTTTATTAAAAGTTGATAAATTAAAAAAAGAAAATGTAGGCTATAAACAATGAGGCAATTCCTATAAACACAGATATCTTTTTTGATCATTTGTAATTGAGAAATTAATTTTCTCAATTTCGTCCCTACCCTATTTAAATTTTGCGTGCAAGGTGTTTCTTGATGACCCTTATGAAGGACACAAGTCCAAACGCTTTGGTCTAATTGGTTAATAAAGTTGATCTTCATACTACAAGTGTTGCTGGAGCATAATGACCACGACCAAGTCGGTGAAGTTTTGCTGGAAAATCCCACTCTGCTTCTTCAGTGATTTAAAAATGAACACATGTATACATGCGGCAGCAAATATTTATTTTTGGAATGGATTAATCTGTTGATTATTTGCATCCTTAATCAATGAATAGAGGTTTCTATAAAATGTCATGAAGTTGTTAAATGAATGCCTTCCCAGTACTGGGAATTGTCTGATCATTATAATGTATGATATAAATTATGTTTATCAAGTGAACAGCAACAAACTCTAAGTTAGGCTTTGAAAGTTATGGATAGAGGATATTAAGGAAATTTAAGATCGCAGGTTTTTTTTCCAGATGTTTCCATGCTATCACATCTTCAATATTTTAGTGAAAGTAAAACTTTTCAAAGTAATGTTTTCGCCTAGTCTGCCCTCTAGCTGTTTCCCATAAAAATATCCCTCGTGCGTTTGTTCAGCAGTGTCACATATTTACACATCTTTTATTAATAAACGAACAAACAAGAAAGAGTATGAGGACAGCCTTTACTCTTTTGTATCAACTGTGATCTAATTAATTATGGATGGAAAACTTCACTTGTATGAAATGTACAACTTTTCGACAGGAATTCGGTGTGTGTGTGTGTGTGTGTGTGTGTGTGTGTGTGTGTGTGTGTGCGTGAGTGTGTGAAGGAGAGAGAGAGACTGAGAGAGAGAGGAGTGGAGGAGGGACTGTTCTACCAGATGAAGGACGCAAAGAATTCAGACGTGTGCCGGCTGCTCAAAGTGGATGATGCTGTTTCGCGGACCTAACAGACCCGCGTGCGTGACAATTAACAACGCTTTTTTTTTTTTTATTGTTGTCAATATTATCGGGAGCAACTCATATGAAATTCAATGTGTATTTCAAAGTCGTAGATTAAGTTACTAATGACGCGTAAATTCTCAGCACCGTGCGTAAAGAAGTTGATATTTTATTGATAAAAAAAAAAAAAAGCGACAAAACGGGATTTTTTTTCTGTTATTTGGATTTTTTTTTCCAACATTGTTTATTTAGGGCAGTGCATCAGTGGCTGCTCCCTGATTCAGCACCGGGTGATGGACAGCTCACCGGCTACGCACGAGGACAGGCTCGCGGAGCACACCTTCCGATGCTAAAGCTTGGGGCACGAGACAGTAAAGTTAACGAACCAGAGTCTCGCCATACTTACTCCCCGCCCACATATATACACGCAGCTGTAGTAAAAGTGGTGCTGAAGTTTTTCCTGATATGCCTCCCAGCTGCGAAGATGACAGAGTTTGCTCACACATCAAGATCTCGAGGTAACGTTTTGGCATCGTGCGGAAACCACTCGGTGCTCTCCGGTGAAGTTGGACTTGGTACGGCCAGAGGAAAAAATGGGACAAAACCACCTGTTCTCTGTCAGGAGCGCTGCTCTCTGTTTGCTGCTCTTATGTCGGTCAGGTAAGCGCATTTCTAAAACATTTGCACCTGGCTAAAACTTTATGATAATATTCCTAATACTTATTATTTTTGTTTTTTGCAAAAAGAAATGCAAAAAAATCGAAATGGAAATCGAAATCAACTCTTGTGCTCCAAGATTTCCCCTTAGAAACCCTCTGGGGTCACTTAATATTTCAGAGAAAATATATGACGATGATATAAATATACAAATTAAAGAGTCATGCACTTCACAAGAAAAAAAAATGGTCTCCAAAGTAGTGTGGGATAGGTATCTAAACCAGTGGTTCCCAACCTTTTTTTCTTGGAGCCATCCGTAATGTATTTGTGAAAAGCTGAGCCCCCCCCAGGACCCACACGAAAAAGAGTTACATTGCTTTCAATGATGAACATAAGTATTAATAGTTTTCATTGGTCCAATCCTATCAGAATATGCCTACAAACTTATTCAAGGTTAAACCATGTGTGGACATATTGATGGAACCATTGCCTAAGACGACGATAGTTCAATTCACTTTAGGATAAACAGTAGAAGTCTGATCATTACTATTGTTATAACAGGAGCTTCTTTATGGGCAGATTTGAGTTTTCTCCTCACTCAAATGCAGCATGGATTGTGTGCATATACATGGTAACATATACTTGACATAGGTGCACTACCAAAGACGCTTCTCTGTCCCCTACATCCATCTTGACACGCTTCAGCAACAGTGAAAGTGCTTGATCTGGTGCCAACCTGCTTCTCATTATGACACTGACAGGGTCCAGATATCCATATCTTGACTCCAGCTTTTTTTAGTCAACACGCGCAGAACTGTCGCATGTTGATTTTTTAAGTGAACTTTTTACTCTTCAGTATTGGACAGCCCAATTTCACAAAAGGGCCTCTGGCCTGAAAAGCTGCTGACTCCATCGTCCAAACTGGTCAGTGTTTGATACACCTCGCCAAGGAGCTTGGCTATGATCCAACATCCATGGCCCAGCATGCTTGCTGAGGGAGGTTTCATCTCATTTGAGTCTCTGCTGGCAAGAACCTTTGATCTATGGCACCCAAGAGCCTTTTTTCCGAGCTCCACATCTGGTACTTCCCAGGTGGATGGCCAGATGAACACATACCACCCTGACTGTCAGAACAGATAAGACGTCTCTGGTGCCTGCCTGTTTGCCAGAATGAAATTAGTGCATAATGGCAGGGGATGAGTCCAAGTGAACCTTGGGTAAATTAGCTCTGAATTCTTACAATTATCTACATCTAGTACCTCTTTACCAATGCAAAAACAATTACATCTTGCAAAATGAAATCCAAAGACCACATTTTTAGGATAATTGTATTACAAAGTCATGTTGCATGTTACATATTTGTCCAACCTTTCTCAGGAAAGACCCTCAAGCCAAATAATTAGCATTTGCAATAAATCATTTAAGCAGATTTGCATGGACTGACTCCCTCAGGTTAGCACCATGAAACATTTAAGCCCCTCGCCCGGTTATCAACCACCAGTTATTTATACTTGTCAATGAGGTCGTCAGAACTCCAATTCACCCATGGATAGGTATTGATGTGGCCTCGGGTAAGAGACCATGACGGCTGCCAAGTGCAGGTGGTCCAAGGTCTCGTTTTAAGGTCCTTGATGAAAGCATGGTTCATTGGGTTGCATTATTCCCTCAATCTGTCACCCAGAGATCCTTAGGGAGTGGGTAATAATGGCATGTACACCTAATGTCATCTCAATGGATATTTTAAATATCCATTGAAGAATGACGTTTTAAAATGTATAAATGTTTGTTTAGCCAAAAGACTTGGCTAGGACCAGCTGCCAGACACATTTTGAAATAGAAAACAAACCATAGAAATTATTAGCTCTTTGCAAAGCCAAGTGAGCGTTTTCTTCTTCTGCCATCTTTATTCTGAGCTTACTTAAACAGCTGCCTATCTTGTGTCAAATTGATCTTGCAGACATGAGAGTGCTGGTATAAATCTTTTCACTTTGTTTGAGCATAAAGTGATACCTTTATTTCCAAAGTTGTCAAAGAAACTTCATTTGAATTAATTTCTAATGAAGGTCAATATGTACTGTAAGAAATGAAATCTGGTAGATGTTTACTCGTGTCATTGTATACAATGACAAGAGTGGGTAACAAATAATACAGGTATTAAAAAGAAATGTTAGAGGTAGTTCAAACTTGATGCTCTTACATAATAGTACATAATTTGCCAACCAAAATGCTATTTTTTATGTTTAGATGACCCACTCATAAAACATCCAGGTCCTTATTTTTTTGTGACAGAACTGTAGGAACATTATTATGTAATTATGCCAAAATAAGTAGATCGTGTTGATCCTCACATCTTTTAAACACCCAAATTCAAAAAGCTAGGGGTGTAAATTTGCAATGCAAACACAAACTATTTCACTCTCTGCTTAGTGAAATCTGCTAGTTGATTTTTTTTTATGCATGACTTGTAAAGGAGTGACAGACAGCTCGACAATAAACACCCGTCACTGGTGAGAAATTAGCTCACCTCCACTTAACACAAGCAAGTAATGATGTGTGTAATTGACTCTGACTGCATTGATGAAGGTAGAAGCAGTAATCCCCAAGGGATGGGATTCCTGTCAATATCCATGCTTTTCATTCTGCTGAAAAGTAACAGTCAGAGCCTGAGTGAGCCTGTTCGCAAATCTGTCTAGACTTCATGTTCAAATTCTATTTGATTCCGCATAAATGAATATGAAACCAAATATTTGTAATAATAAGACTATAGAGTTAAATAGATTGAATGTTGCCTTGCAGGGAGGAGAGACTCTCCCTCAGTCTGCCTCACTCTGCTCAGCTTGGGAGATTTTAGCAGACGACCCACTCAGGGAGCTCAGATCAAGAGATCAGAAGATCAGCAAAGACTCAATAAGTCAGTAAGACTTAAGGAAGAAAAGTCTTGGATGTTTAGAGTGTTCTTCTGTGCTAAAACTTGATAGTTTAAAACTCTAAGTGTCTCTCCTGACAGCTACACAAAATAGTATGCCAGCCTGATTTACTACAGTTTGTTAAGTGGGGATTAGGATTTCCCAGTTTTACTGTGCTCCTGCTCTATCCTATAATATTCATTTTCTATGAGACTCATTATCTTTGCGAATAACTACTAAATGTTAATCAAAGTACAACTATCCTAATGGTTATGATGTCAAAACAGCAAAGTATTAAAACACTTTCTTTGGCGTTATTACAGTCATATCTTTTTTTTTTAAGTATGTTATGTGGTAACAGAACAGACAGCTTGAAGATAAAACTCATTGATATTTTAACAGCATATTTACTTTTTAAAACGGCAGGACTGGAATTTAATGTGTTCAATGTTGAATAAAGGTGACTCATTTATTCCATTTCCCTGATATTGTGTGTGTCCTCTGTAAATGTTTAACATATAATTGAGAGAAGTGCCTTTATTAATTACAGAAATTAATGGCTACACAGGTCTTTGTCAAGAGAAGTCCCACTACCACTCTGAGGATGATCTCTTCAAGACCCTGTTCGCTGGCTACAACAAGTGGTCCAGACCTGTGCCCAACATCTCGGACGTGGTCATTGTCAAGTTTGGACTCTCCATTGCCCAGCTTATTGATGTGGTGAGTCGTCTCGCATTGACTGTTTACAGCACGTTTGTCCGATACATTTAGTACATCAAGACTAAATGCATAATGGATAATGCATATATCCTGGATCGGGTCTATGTCATTCTAAAAGTCTAAATAACGATATGATACATTGATATATATTAGCCCTGAAAGAAATTCATCCATCTATTATCAATACCACTATCTCCCGTTTGGAGTCGTGGGGGGGGGCTGGAGCCGATCCCAGCTGCCATTGGGCGAGAGATGGGGTACACCCCAGACTGTTGGCCAGTCAATCACACTCCACACTCACATTCGGTATTCTAAAGTGAAATTGACATGTCTTGGGTTGTCCATGAGCAAAAACCTCATTTAGGTCAGACTGAGTCAATGTGAGTCAGAATGTAGACAACATTTAATGTCATTTCTGAGTTATTAGTCCATCCTAGAGCTTTAATCAGCACGGTTACTGAGTTTGTCTTCCTTATACTTAACCAAAATGTTATGAAGCACATCTTTAACCCTCTGTATGCTGTAACCACGATATATTTAACAGTATGTTTTGGCATTTGACGGTTTAGCAAAACAAACTAAGGAAAAGGGTTTGCGCCCTGTCACAGTTACAGAACACTTCACGTCCATCAAAGTATTGAAGTCAAGTTGCTGCTACCTATATTTGGGTTCACTATAACACCCCCCTCCCCCACACACCCTCAAAATAAATAAAAAAAACAACCCCACATTTCTGAGCACACAGTTGACATATTTTACTCTGTCTGTCTCTCTTTCTTTCTGTCCGTCTGTCTGTCTGCAAGGATGAGAAGAACCAGATGATGACAACCAATGTGTGGCTAAAGCAGGTCAGAAGCATTCGCTGTTGTCTAGATTTATTATTCATATATTCCATTTGTTTGTGATACAGAGTGGTATGAATACAAAACCCAGCTCTACATGCTCATGGCATATGAGAAACTGAATTATTTAAAAGACAATTAATTAAACAAATCTGGCACTCAAAAACTTTCTGTTTTTTTTCCCAGGAGTGGAATGACTACAAACTAAGCTGGAGACCATCTGACTACGACAACGTGACATCCATCAGAGTACCATCAGAGCTCATATGGGTACCAGACATCGTCCTGTACAACAAGTATGTGAGATATTAGAATAAACACATGCCTGTAACTAACAGAAAATAGCTGCTAGTGTTGTTGTCAAGACCACACTAACCGAGACCAAGACATACCAGAGACTAGAGGGCTCCGAGAACGAGCTAAGACCAAGACATTTAGTGATTCAGACGGAGTCAAGACCAAGGAAGGACGAGACAGAGACCAGACCAAGACCAAGACCTTAAATATCACTGATAAATCATTCTCTTGTGTGAAGCAGGCATGTCACGACTCACTTAGACCCTAACACCAGGAAGGTTGCGGCCGCAACCGGGGAACAAAAATCAAATTATGAATTAATTGAAATAAGTTATTTTAGAGAGGGGAGTTTTCCTTCTAATCACAGTCATGACATGGAAAAATAGCCTGTCTTGACTGGCCTTGATTTAAAATCCGGAGTCTGCCCAGTCTGAGACAAGACTGAGTAAAAATGCTTTAGATAAGACCTAGACCTGCAAAAAGTGGATTTCAAGTATTACAACACTGATAGCACCACCTTCACAAAGCTGACATGCATGGCCACTACTTAAACTTTTCTTGTTATGACTCTAAGATACACTAAAGAAAACAACTACACACAATTATACATAGGTTTAATTTCATGGCCCTTTACAGCATGGCTTATTGCATGAAGATGGTGCCATCTAGTGGATATGATTAAACCTGTTCCAACTAAAATGTGCTTTTTTACATTGGAGGAAAAATGTTAAGGTCAATTTGAACATTTCTGTGCATGTCTATGTTTTCATTGAAATATTTTTATTAGAAAGTAAAGACCACCTGCATACATTGATTTGGTGATAAGGCTAATGAAGGTGAATTTCTTCTTAATACAGTTCATAGAAATTAAACCTGGTGAGGGGGTGGGATGGTTTGGAGGAACTGATGGATTCCTGCTCCATTGAGCATGTTTTATCACAATCTGTAAGTGAAATTAAAAAAGGTGTGTAACCGATGAAATGATAAAGACTTCTAATTAGGTTTTTCAGCAGGAGCTATTATCTCCATTAAAGGGATGAATGGAGGGGAGATTACTGGAGAAGATTATTGGGAAATCATAACACTTCTTAACTGCATAGTTTAAAAGGGGAAAAATATATATTTCACTATGCAACAGAGGAATATGAACCCCTCACAGTGCAGCACATGATTCAGTATTTGCTATGTCAACATCACTTATATGATCATGCCTGCTTTTCCAGCGCTGACGGGGAGTTTGCTGTGACCCACATGACTAAAGCTCATTTATTCCACACTGGTAAAGTTCGCTGGGTTCCTCCTGCCATCTACAAGAGCTCCTGCAGCATCGATGTCACCTTCTTCCCCTTCGATCAGCAGAACTGTAAAATGAAATTTGGCTCCTGGACGTACGACAAGGCCAAGATCGACTTGGAGCGGATCGAAAACACTGTGGACCTGAACAACTACTGGGAGAGCGGGGAGTGGGCCATCATCAATGCTGTGGGAACGTATAATACAAAGAAATATGACTGCTGCCACGAGATCTATCCGGACATCACGTACTTTTTCATCATCAGAAGGCTTCCTTTGTTTTACACCATCAACCTCATCATCCCCTGTTTGCTGATCTCTTGCCTCACCGTTTTGGTTTTCTATCTCCCCTCAGACTGTGGGGAGAAGATCACTCTGTGCATCTCTGTGCTGCTGTCCCTCACTGTCTTCCTCCTCCTCATCACAGAGATCATACCGTCCACATCCCTCGTCATTCCGCTCATCGGCGAGTACCTCCTCTTCACTATGATTTTTGTCACTCTGTCTATCGTCATCACTGTTTTTGTCCTCAATGTGCACCATCGCTCTCCTAGCACTCACAAGATGCCCCGCTGGGTCCACTCCGTGTTCCTGGACATGATCCCGCGCTGGCTGTTCATGCGGCGGCCCGCGCCAGATGGCCGGCGCCGCAGGTTGTTGTTACTCCAGCAGGAAGCGGCGGCAGACCGGCGGCAGCAGGGTCGGATAGTCGGGTACAAATCCCACAACTGCCTCAGCACCTCGGCGAACTGGTTAAGAGATGGGACTATGTCAGAGGACACTGAGAGGAGTAGTTATGAGGATTTAGAGCTGGGAACGCTGACTTCATACTTCTCCTTCAGACCGCCTTCGCCCAGACCTCCGGGGTCAACACCTCCGCCGCAACAAAAAAACCCTCAGAACAGCTTGGGCCGACAGGAGGGGGCAAACAGACAGATAACAGGGGCCAGAGTCAACCCCACTCAGAAGCCAGCTAAAGTAGAGAATACTGTTTCAGAATCAACTTTCCTGCTTTCACCAAGTGTGATAAGAGCTCTGGAAGGCGTGCACTACATAGCAGACCATCTGAGGGCAGAGGATGCAGATTTCAGCGTGAGTATCAATGAAAAACTACATTTAGTATCATCAGAGTGTCACTCCAAAAGATGCATTTCATTAAATCACTGTATTCCTGCAGTGGGTCATAATTGACTTTTTGATCTATCTTCCTGATGTATATGGTTAATATGCATATGTGAATAACAGAGATCAACCTTGTTAAGGCACTGGTAAAATTATTATGTCACAGTGTTCACAACTGCCAGGTGTATGTAAAGTCCTGTTTAAGATTGATTTGATCCGACCATGTCAGTGCATTGACTCACCAGCCCCCTGTGCCCATCTAAATGACACAAGCTTACATTTAAAGGAGCACAGAGGAGGATTCATGGCTAATTCATCTGAGGGTCGTCTTACATAAAGTTAACTAAAACCTTCAACTTCCTGTATCAACAAGTATCTAACTTCTTATCATTGATTAACCTGCCAATTGACCGTTTTGGTCAGAAAATAGTGTAAAAATGTTCTTACATGATGTCTTCTGATAAGTTGTTTTCTTCTACTCACAATCCAAAATCCAGATACATTTAAATAATACATTAGACATCAAAACACAGCAGTGAAACTTCAACTTTAAGTCCCTTATTTTATATCATAGAGTGTTTTTCTTCGAAAATGACTTTACCGCCACAGTGATTGTCCATTCTCTGTTGCTGAGAGGCTTATCATTTTAAATGTGACATCATTTAATGATAAAGTGACAAGAATGTGAAAGGGATTACCTGAAGTACCAAGCATCCAGAGATATATTATTTTAAAATTGTAGCTGCTTCTCACCTTTTCTAACCCTTATAACAAGGTTTAGTTTAACTAACTAAGTCAGAAACTAGCCGATGAAGAGCTTAATGGACTGATATTTCCCTCTGGAGTTGCTTTAGACGAAAACAGAATGAAACTAGAGTCAATATTGGACTTGTGTTTGCCAGGTGGCCTAAAACAAAACAACGTTAATGTTAACATATTAATAAGAATGTCACATCTGTAAAATTTAATGCTAACTTTTTTCTTTATTCCCCCTCTGTTGCTCTTACTTCTACACAGGTGAAAGAGGACTGGAAGTATGTTGCCATGGTGATTGACCGCATCTTCCTGTGGATGTTCATTATTGTGTGCCTGCTTGGAACCATTGGTCTCTTTCTCCCCCCTTGGCTAGCTGGCATGATCTAGCCATTATGGGGGGGGGGGGGTACATTTTCACCTCTAGTTATTGAATTTTGACCTCCAGAATGTAGCTGAACTCTACTTCCAGACTGGGAATGTGACCTTAGTTTTTGTTAAAAATCTAGGCCTACTCCTCAATAACCCATCACACACAATGTTGTTGTTTTTTCTTCAAATCTATAAAACAAATATCAACAAGTTTATCCTCGGTAGAAAGGCTATTTCATGAAATTCCTAGACTCAGCTGTCCAGATGTGGATCAAATGTGGTTTGTACTAAGCTGCACTTTAAAGCAGCACACCTGAGAGTGCTTTCTCAGTCTCACCTGTCAGGTTAAGTTAAATTGTGTTTGACTTGTGTTCTACTGTTGTTGTCAAGACCACACTAACCGAGAACAAGACATACCAGAGACTAGAGAGCTCCGAGAACGAGATAAGACCAAGACACATTAACGTGCCCAGAGTTTTTTTTAACTTTAAGTTTACCAACAATAGTTAGTTAGTTAAACATGGTAACAATAGCATACTAATGTTAACATGGTAGCATGTCACTGTTTAGTTTCTCTCAAGCACGTTTGTTGGCATAACATGCTAGTTAAAAAAAAAAACGTGGTGTCGATCATATTGGGGGAGGTTTCACGGTAGAGATTTGTTTCCTACTGTGTGGTTTTTCGTTTTAAATGTGTGGTCAGTAAGTGTAGTTAATACATCCATTTGGCATCAGTATCAGCTATATGTTGGAAAATGTTGATGTATTACCAGGAATCAGGGGTGTGATAATGACATCAGCTCCAGGTCCAGATGAGTAACTTGACTTCATTATCAAAGGCTGGAGACGACAGGGGAGAGGGTTTAATTCCAGTCAGACATTAAGCTACTTCAAAATTGTTTTACGCTGCATTCACGTGCTCCTGGCATGCTCGGAGATCGCAGATTCAGAGGTCTTTAGAGTGGTACGACGCAACAACATTAATATAAAATATAAAAATAATAAAAAGTTTAAACAAATGGACAAAGTGTTTGACCAAGCCACCATTTACGATTCATTTTACGTAGCATAATATGACGTAAATTATAACAATTCATCTTTCCAATTAGAGGGAGCCCTCACCTTATTTTCTTCAACTGAAAACCCAATTTTCTATCATTCCTAAGCCACGTGAATGCAGGTGTATATGTATTCTTTTTTTCTATCGACAGTTAGCTAAATGTTCAACTTAGAGTGACTGTACAGGTATGCGTGAGTATGAGTTTACGAAATCTAGCTTTTAACTCGCAAAAGCTAGGGTAGTGCCTACTTCCAACACACATAAAGGCAACTTATAATTGCTTTTATTATGTACTGTATTATTTAAGTTAGGCCCTACTTGCCCAACAGTGATCATCAGCATGCTATGGGTGATACTTTATGAGCACAGTAAAGGGATCCCCACAACCACAGGAGTCTTTTTATGTTTAAATTAAAGTACAACATTTCCATTTCACTCTATTCAGTTTTCGATCATGACTGACAATACAGACCGATAAGGGAACAGGCTTAAATGTCCATTCAGTTAGGGGCCTACACTTTTCTAATGTGTGTTGAAGTGTTATGTCAAATAACGCTGTGTTTTTGTCAGCCTGAGAAACTTTATTCCATGGGGGGGGGGGGGTCTTTAATCATTTTAGTTTTCCATCTGGCTTGGATTGGACAGTGGCATGTTGTACTTGAGATCTGTACACACACACATACATATACTGAGGTTATTTGTACTGGTTTGAAATACTTTTTTTCACTTATTGTCCCAGCCATGATGCCATGATTGTATTTATTTTTGAATGATCAAACGATGTAATAAATTCCCTTCTGAAAACGCATCTTTATAGCATGAATTAAGTGATTTAAAAAGGTGGAACAGAATACAGCTTCACGAAGTCCAGAATACAAATGTTCCCTCAAATATTCATACAATCATAAAACACAGACACAGTATGATAGATTAAAGAACCATAACATTTACTATCTGTAGGGAAACGCAGAAATACTTACTGTGTTTATTTCACACAGTGATTGTTATTATTTCTGAGGCTGGAAACACTGGCATTAATACATTGGACTACATGATATTATAAAAGGTGTCAATTTTGTGTTCATCACCTGCAATAAACCAAAACCTCACTTCTTTGAAAGTAACGGAAAACCTAAAATAGAGAAGCACAAGTTCAAGAGATTTGGTCAATGAAAGGACATTAACGTATAGCAGTATACATCATGACATTTCTTTTCATGATTTATATGTTAGAGCTTTATATTTTCAAATATGGCAACGAACCAAAACTTGAACTCTTCTCAGTTGAACAACGTACCTGACACACAGCTGATCATCTATAATCTATGAATTTAAGTCTTTTCCTCCTAACTTTAAACTCTAAACCTCGATAGGTATGGTTTGCCTTTTGGTTTTTTCATCTTTACATTCTACACATGTTACTGTTGAAAGAGTAAATAATGTTCTTGTGTTTTATATTATATTGGATATCTTTTAACTTTCTCCTCCACGGTAAAATCTGTTTAACTTGATATGAAAAAAATCTGATATCTACAAGAATAATTTTGTTTCTGAGCAGAGGATTAAATCAGTTACTCACAGATCACAAATCAAAGCGTCAGTCTGACCTTCTAAACATGATGCTGATAAGACAACCATTCATTTCAGTATACATACTACCATGGCAAGAATATACATCAACTTTATCCACCGAGTTTTAGCATCATATTTAAACTAAACAACACTCATTTACAGAAATGATGACGCCCGCTGCCCGACTTTAACTGTGTGTCATTTCTGACCGACAGATGAGGACAAAGTCTAATACCTGAAATAAAAGATTGTTTACAGTCCACTAGAGGATCACAGGCTTGGCTATGTTGGCCTTGACTCTGGCCTGGTCCACAGCGTCCAACATGTTCTTGCTGTCCATAGCCAGGGTGTGAGCTGCAGCCAGCATCTGCTTCTTACACTCCTCCTTCAGAGAGGTGATGGCGTTCTGCTGGGCCAGACGCATTTTGCTGATCAGCTCTGCCATGTCGTTGTTCAGCAGCTTCTGGGTGCCCTCGATCTGAGGGGATGGTAAACCAAAACAATGGGTGAAGATTTGAAATATTTAAAGTCAAAATGTTATGCCATGAAAAAGGCCTGTTATACTCCACAATATTTTGAAGTACAGATATGAATACAATGTTTTTGTGCAGCCTTTTAGATGGTTTTATTGAAAAGCAGGGAGGAGTTGATTAAACTCAAGTGCGTTATGCTCTGAGCAGTTTATTTTCATTTGTACAAAAAAACATTTTATTAACTCCCTTGGTCTCAGGACGGCATCAAATTGAAAACTTATGCGCACCCTATATGATAAACTGTTAAATGTCTGGCTGACACTGCTCTAATATATAAAGTTAAGATAAATAGTATCTTCAGCCAGAATGGAAAACACACAATGTTAATGTTCTCTTTTGCTTCTTTGTGTTTAAAGAGAAGTTCAGTCACTTTTTGTTACAGAGACAAGCAGCAGAACAGCTTGAGGACAAAGAAAAATCAATAAAGAGAGGGAGTAGGACGATGAGAAAACACAGCAAACAAGCTGCAGACAATAAACAGTACCTCGGTCCTGACAGACTGGTGTAAGGAGGGCAGTATGTCATCCACACTGCGGATCAGATCTCGTAAAGCCATCCCCGTAGACTGTGGGCAGAGATCAATGCAGAGAATTTATCAGCTGTAATACTCAAGGCTTTTGTCTTTCGATTACATTCAGGCACCTCAAATGAGCCAATAAAGCAGCAACAAAGTGTCAAAGTGAAGAGAGAAACAGATCAGTCTCAGTCGTACCTGGACGATTGTGATGTATCGCTCTGGTTGAAGCTCGGTGATGTCATTCTTGAGTTGGACGACGACCTTGACAAGGTTCATGACGGACTGGTACACTTTGTCATCTGAGCGGTCCAGCTCTGCTGTGGGTGCGGGCTAGGTGACAAGGTGTGTTTTAATAATTCAATATTTCACACAGAGATAACTAGAAATCATTGTGAATGCATGGTGGTGTCTACGCTCTTTCAACTGAAGGGTAAATGTGCTTTTTGTTTTTAGATGACTGAGTTCATTATACATTCTTTTTCATTTTAAAATCTCAAAGCTAATAAAATTAAAGTGTCTTTTCAGTGGGTAGAAGGATATTAGAATAGTAAATTGAATTGTCATAATAACCTGTGCTGTGAGCCGTGGGGGCTTCTCTGGAGGTCCTGCAGGGCACAAAGATGAACAATAAGAGAAACAAAGACAAGAGGAATCATAGAATTACTAAATGTGGATTTGTTACTTTCTTTTAAACACTTACCATTTTCTGCGTCGGCTTCAGCAGACTGAAAATAGCACAAGATAAATCTCATGAGTTACAGACATCCTGAAGAGTTACTTAAAGGCTCTCCAAGAGCAGAGCAGAAGTAGAAAACGTGCAGTAATACAGAGCTTTAAAAACAGTTGTTTGAAAGGGAGGACATGCTGGCTGCTGTGTTGTTGACAGAGAAGCAGTGCACTTCAACGTAGCTTGTGTTTTAATGTCTGATAATATAGTGAGGTAATTTTATGATTTTATCCAGTAAATATCTTACATATTGCTCCTTTAACTAAATCGGTACAGGCGGAAACCTACCACTAGGCTGCCAGGGTCCTCTGGTCCCATGGGGTCCTGCAAAAGAACAGGCAGGTTCATTTTATAGATTATGGACATGGACCCTCTCTTTGGAACTGTTATCAGGGGAACGTTGAGATTCAAACTAACGGGGCGTCGAGAGTGAACCAGCGGTTTTAAATTGTTTGATGACGCCCCGTTCAGCGTAGCCTCCAGGGCCACATTGAATTTTGGAGCAGGGGGACACAGAGACACAGAGAGGGGGTTGACAAAAGTTAATGATGCTCTATTTCTAACCAGGAGTCTCTCCTCCATCTCCAGCCATTTTTCATCCTCCATCATCTGCACTTTCTGCTGGCGGAGCGTGTTCTGCATGTTCTGCCTGTCGTGCTGCCACAGGCGCTGGGCGTCCTCCCGGCTGTTCGCTTCCAGTCGAAGAAACCCGCCTTCCTAAAATCAGGTAGCCAAACAAAACTATGATGGCTTAACTGCACGCAAAGTCATTTTTGATCTTTGAATGCAGACTTCAAATGGAAGTTAAATCAACAGAAATAAACACAGCAGAGGGTTTCTTACCCCCATGCTTCGTGGGCGAGGGGACCTGACCGGCAGGGTAAGTGAGTTCATGGAGTCCACAGGTGACTGATATTCACATGGGCTGGCCAGGTCAGGTGAGCTGGCACATAAAGCTTCATTCAGCTGCACCGACGAACACACAGACATACAAAACTTAACATAACTTGTCTTACTATCTTGGAGGAAAAAAAAATCTTGAGAGATGATTTTTGTCCACTGCTGTACCTGAATGTGAAGACCAATACTGAGCGTGTTCCCAAACCTCCCTGGTTTCATTCTTGAGGGCTTCAGGGAACATTGAATAAGACGTATTAAAACCTGCACAGGTACATTTTGAAAATCAAATAGCTGCTGAATTTGACAGGGATACATACCTTCGGAGGAGGCTCGTTGAAGTTGAACTTGGGTTCAAGATATTTAACAGAGCGCGTCCTGTCCCGCTCTCTTTCCACCTCCTGCTCCTTCTCCATCTTGTGGACATCACTGACAGATTTAAGAGAACAAGTAATGTCATGATGTAGTCAAAGGGTAAAAAAACCCACATACAATGAGCTTTAATATCAGGTAACAATCGTACAACAGATGTTTGAGAAAATATTGATATACCGGCGTCTCACATGATATGTATTGTGATACAACAGATCCAACAGCTTTAATTTTTGATTAATATAATAAAAAAAGTGTTCCCATTTTTTTCTGATAATTTAAAATCCCTTTGTTTAGATTGGTTTAAAAAGTTTTCTCACAAGCTCCTGACTTTAGGGCTAATTCTTAATAATATTAAACATTTTCAAAAATAAGATTGTAAAAAAAACCTTTAGAACACCATGCTTTTATTTTGAAATCTACTGCAATGAATAAAAACATAACTCTTGTACTGCACTACATAATGTGTCCAGATTCTTTTAAATTATTTCAAAATTCAGAGCAGGGTTGTTCTTCAGCATTAAGTCACTAACCGGCCATCGAAGGATCTAATTTCTTCTTAAGTAAATGCTACAATGCACAAGTGGAAGCATCACAGTCAGATATAGTTTCAATCTGTACTTTTATACCTTTGGCAAGAGGACAGTTCTTTGTACATATTTAATAATAAAGCATCACCTGATCTTGACCACCAGCTCGGTGAAGTTGGGTCTCTCTCGAGGGTCGTAGGACCAGCAGCGGGTCATGAGCGAGTACAGGGCAGGAGGGCAGTTGTCCGGCTTGGGCAGCCTGATTCCCTGCTCCAGCTGGTTAATGACGTCTCTGTTCTCCAGCCAGAAAAATGGCTGCTGCCCACAACTCATTATCTCCCACACACACACGGCTATTAAGTAATGCAAAACAGAGAAAGAGAAGACGCTGTAATAAGTGCTTTTTGTTATTTATTCCCGATGATAAATACAATGATTATGAGAAGGAGCATTCAAGAATTGAGGAGCATGAGTCCTTGTTTGTTGATGTGTGTTTGTGGTGCAAAAGAAAGGACACAAATCTACTCAAACAAGTAGAGAAAGATGTGATTACTTGTGATACTTACATTGTTTTGATTTTTACCTCTAGAAAAAAACTAAACATTGTGTCCCTACTTACTAAACTCTGGGCCTCCATTCATACAGTAGTGCCTTTATATCATTTATGGCATTATAAAATCATGCAGTAACATTTTGAGTTGAAGATTAACCAGCCACCTTTCCTTTATCATGTCTGGTTGAGTGTGCTTCCTGTCTTGTGCCCTACTTACATTAAATGTGTTTGAACTGAGCCGCTGTGCTGTGTGTCACAAACTCACCAAACATCCACACATCACTGGCTGACGTGAAACGTCTGAAGTTGATGGACTCTGGAGCCATCCACTTAATTGGCAACCGAGTAACAGACGCTGCAAAGAAATGGAAGACGTTGGTAATTGTGAGATTTTTTTTTATTGACGGAACAGGCTTCTATACTATTGTATTTTCCTCTTTACTAGAATGGTATTTTGACATATAGGATGAAAGTATAAAGATTATTATTTCTGTTATTAATGTCAAAAAGTCAAATTGTCCTTTCTTTTAACGCCTTCTTTTCTCTTACCTTTGTAGTATTCTTCATCCTCGATGTATCTGGACAGACCGAAGTCTCCAAGTTTCACACAGTCTGGACTGGCAACTAACACGTTCCGAACCGCGATGTCTCTGTTTAAAAAAATAATAATAATAATAAGTTCTATACATGTACAGATAGATATTATTATTATAAAAGCAGAAATTGTGTACAATTCAGTTTGATACTAGCAGAGCACAGTGCGTGGACTGATCCTCGCTGATGACCTAAATTTACTTCTTCAATGCTTCATTGAATCCCAAAATAGAGCATAAAATATACTAAAGGAATGTTTCACTTTTTCCAAACAGGCAGAAACTAATTTCCTCTGTCTGTGTTTTTTCTTCACAGCAGATTGAGTCCTGGAGAGGCAGCTCTCCTGCCTGAAACTCGTTGATAACATTCTGTAGAAAGAATGACTGAAACCAGTTTTTCTGTTTTCATCTCACATTTACTTTCCGTTATGTTGTCTTAATATAAACCCCTTAAATTTAAATGTCAAACGTACACTGCCTGATATCATTGTACTTAACATTCTGATGCTGTTTTGGGATGTTTTCTAGCTTTATCTGTCAACAGGACTGTGATCCAGCAGGAAAGATACAACACAAGGAGACACAGGACATCTTTAAAATGCTGCAAAATAGCTCAAACAAGATACAGAAGATTTGTCAGCTAATTGGACTAATTGTTGGTGATAGCTTCATTGTTCATGTATACTGTGTTTGCAATTCTTCCAATCATATAGACAACATTATCAACAGAAAAAATACACATCACAGTATCAGGGAACTTCCTACAGAATAAATGATCGGAGTCTCTGACCTGTGCACCATGTTGACTCCCTCCAGGAAGACGAGAGCTTTGCAGATCTGCAGGCTGAACAGCACCAGGGTAATGTTTGTCAGGGTCTTCTGGTTCTGAATCAGGTAGTTACCGAGCTGCAAGAGTGACAACATTTAAGTAAGAAAAAAAAAACATCTATGAGGGTCTGTCTGTCATATTGAGGTGGATGAATGTAGCAAAAACACAATCAGACATAATTCATGCAAGAACTGTGCAAGGTTTCATAGGGCTGTAGTCGTTTTTGATAAGCATACTGATCTCCTCTCAAACAACACTTTAACCACACAATATGATTTAAACTAAAAAATATACTGACATGAGGATAAACACAAACCTCTCCATGCTCATAAAGCTCCATGACGATCCACACAGGATCCTCCTCAATGATCCCAATCAGTTTGACAATGTGCTGATGATCCAGGTTCTTCATTATAACTGACAAATACAAGAAGTTCACACATATTTGTGATTATAACAATAGTTATTGGTATCCTGATATTCTCTTTTGGATAATTTTCCCAGTTACCTGCTTCACTCATGAACTTCTCCATCACATCAGGTGAGCAGTCTTTGCAGGTTTTCACTGCTACGTTAACTCTATTGCCATCCTGTGAAATCAACGAGCGAAAAAATGTCAAAGCTGCTAAGTGTTAAAGAAACCAGCTCGAAAAAGACAACACCTTACTGTAGAGCCAAATCAATCTGTTAAAGGATTAGATGATTGGTTGCATCTAATTAAAAATCTGATCATGTTGGAGTCACCTTTTTGGACATTTGGCTGAACAAAAAACTTTCTTAAGACTTTATCTTTGGTACTTTAGAAATGTGCAACAAACAGTTTTTACACCATTCATAGCCTTAACAATGGATTTCTTTAACAAGGACATATAACCATTTTCCACCTTTTAAAACAGTCCGACTCCCCTGTGGTCTAAATGAAACACATGTGCTGTGCTTTCGTCAAAATATAACATGAATCAAGCACCAGAGGAGGTTTCCGACCCTGTATAAACCAGCACTCTCAGAATGCTCAGTTTTGGTGTGTGTGTCTCTTTAAATGCAATGAGCGCCCCCTGAGTTTTCCCGGTAGACATCACTCCTCTGTAGCGAGAATAAAAATGGCAGGACCTGCGCAAATGTTTTGCTCTAGGCTGGAGACGGAGTCCATGGGTGGAGATATCAGGGGAGGGGAGGGGATTATTTTTTACCAGAATCCCACTGTGACATCACAAGGAGTGCAAATTTAAAACGGAGCATTTTGCTCAGTGTTGTAAGACTTATGCAGACCACAAACAAAGGACTTGATGGGTTTTTTCCACATTTTGTCAGTTGGTAGACACTCAGGTTACCCAATTATATGTTCAAAAACACTGTCAAAGTGGATTTTTCATAATATGTCCCCTTTAAGATTTTGTATTTCAATTTTTTTTAAAGATTTATTTTGGGCTTTTTCGTGCCTTTAATTCAGAGAGAAGACAGTGGATAGAGTCGGAAACCAAGGAGAGAGAGCGGGGAATGACATGCGGAAAGGGGCCACGGGTGGAGGCGAACCCGGGCCTACCGCTCGAAACGAGAGTCTCACTACATGGGACGCGCGCCCTGCCACTGCGCCACCAGTGTGCCTGTATTTCAAAATTACATGACCTATGAAGCAAACTTGACTACCGCTAACATAGTTATTTCCTTTGCCTTCATTTTTCCAACAAGCTTGCCTGCATCAGAGAAAGTAAATCTTTATAACCTTTTAAGTATTATTTGCTATAAGCTTAAGCTAACTTGTGATAGGGAAGCCACACTTACAGCTTTTTTGTAAACTCCATCGTAGACTTCCCCGAAAAAGCCCTCACCCAGGATTCGTCCAAGTACAATGTCACTTCGGTCGATCCCGTACTTAACAACTACAGAACAAAATTTAAATTGTTCAAAAATTATTTTTTTTCTTTACAATGAATATGCTGACAAAAAAAAGTTCAACATTCAACAAACCTGATCTTGGCCTTTCATCGAGAATTTCACAATAAATATCTGAGCCTGGAAAAAAAAAGAAAAGAGGAACTTTAATTGAACTTGTTCATGATCTCTGTGCTTCTTTTAAACCCCCTTCATCTTGTTTTTTGTGAGATAATGACTCTTTAAAGAATGAGAACTGTCCTCTTACCCATACTGTGCCTGATGGAGCTGGTGTCCCTGCTGCTCCAGAGAAAAGACAGAATGAGAGAGAGCCCGAGTCATAAATTGTCGCCTTATGGCTCCTCAGAGCTCTGACAGGATGATTCAATAAAACATCCCTGTTCATCAATTACTCAAACTTTTCATCTCATATTACAACCAAAGAGGGAAGGAGTGCGGCTATACCGAGGCTCAGAGTGGTCACAAATCATTCTGAGGTGTGAAACAGCCAGAATCCACTCACCTTGTGGGGAGCTCGGGTAGGGAAGTTCGTGCATTTGCATCTAGAATAGAAATTAGCTTTGATCAAGTTGAATTGAAAGAGTTTAAAAGTTCTTCATACTGCTCTTAAGGCAACAAAATATGCCTCATGCCTTACACATCTGCCTGCCCTTTATGTAAGATTTAACCACAGTGGTGTTAAGAGCAGTAGGGGAAGTGGCTGAGTCATACACACCTTTATTTAGTCGATAGATTACAGTATCATCTGTGTCATTTTCCAAGCGGCAGTAGCCATCAATAAGGTCCATCATGTTCTCTGCCACAGGGACAGTGGCCACATTGATCGACAGGCGCTATAAGAAGAGAAGAAAGAAAGGGCACATGTACCAGGTCACATTTCCTGTGCAGACACCATCTGTAACAAATGTGCCTGCTAATTTTGGCCGTTCAGATTCTTAACCGCGTACAGAGTAATATTGTATAATAGGAAGATTGCATCATTGTGATACTCACTTGTCTGGCCCCCTCTATGTCAAAGTTTATGAGAGCTTTGCCGTCACTCTGAGATAGGCATTGTATTCTCTTGATCTGTTTGAAGTCGGCCAGAAAAACAGCCTGAGGCACGAAAAGAAGAGCAAAGCATTAAAGGAAATGAAGATGAGATTCTGTGAGATAGATAACGATGTTGCATCTGCATGTTGCTGTGACCTTAGCATGTGGTTAAGAGATATAAAGATGCTAAGTATGTTTAGAGAGGACAAAATACCAACAGGAGTAAAGTTATACAATCAAACTCTGAAAAACATTTATGTTTTAAGGAAAAGATGAAAAGTCTGGTAAATATGTTTAACTTCTATTTTCTGAGAGTTACAGGAAATGTTTATTGTCACAATCTTGTTTCTATGATGAATGGGAAGCAGTTAGCTTAGCTGCATACATTTCTTTTGATTCAGCCAGGCATGCTCTTTCCCCTTGCTTCCAGTCTAGTCTTCATGCTAAGCTAGGCTCAGTAAACCAAACTGATGGTGGTAGCCTTGTATTTAAAGTGACATAAGACTGATGCCAATCTTTTCATCATATCTTGACACTTTCAAAAAATGTCCAACTATCCTCCAACAGAAATCCTGGACCAATGCTAGCGCAGTTACATTATGCAACACAGTGTGCAGTATGTGGAAAGGTGCTTACCGCTGAATCCTTCTGTGTGCGTTGGCGGATTCCCCTCCCACCGATGACCAGCTCCACTGACAGACTCCAACCTTGCTGTTGATACGGGACAGAGTTAACGTCAATGATCAAGAGTAGACCAAGGTTAACTGAATCTCATTTCATCTAGTTTTATTACATTTTGAACCTCCTGTGTTTCCTCATGTAGAATAAATGATAGCGTTTCCTCAGTACCTGTTCTTATCTAGTTATTTTTACCTTAGATTTTGGATTGTGGGATAGGGGTGGGGGAGGGAGTCATGTTGTTGCTGTTTGATCTATGTTGATGTAAAGCACTTTGGGTTACATTTTGTTGTATGAAAAGTGCTGTACAAATAAAGTAAAGTTTGAAGGTTGTTTATCCATGATTATCAGAAGACTTTTTGTTTCTCCGTTTTTACACAACACATGATGTCACCACTCACCACTAGTTCACACGGGAAGGCCTCTTCATCATATCTGATGAACTCTCGGAGGGTCTCGAAAAACTTCACCATACAGTCGTCCTCTTTGAGCGTCGCGTACTGTTGAAACGTTTGCTGGATCAACTTCCGAAGCTGCCTTGACTGAATCACAAACACAGAATTTAATTTTTATGACAAACACTGTGATGAAGGTTCTGGTTTACCATTCACTAGTAGATGATGTAATTATATCAAAGTTTAGATCGATTACCTTCATGCTGTTGATCAGCTCTGGAGGAAAGAAAAGGTCCAGGCCCACTTCTTTTCTATTTTAGTACAACAACATTCAGAAAAACTAAAGGTTTTTATCTTGTATTTATTCATTAAACATCACATGTTGAACATTTTAATTTCATAACAATCACATTTGAAGAATTCAGGAAGGATAAAAACTTACTCTAGCAGCTCAAAGTTGGACTTCTTTTCTAGACCTTTTGAATTCATGTCTTTATAGAACCTCCTGTATAAACAGAGCAACAAAAAAAACACAGCTTGGCAACCAATTAAAACCATCTCAGCAAATTTCCTTCATCCTTAGCAATAACTCATATTATCATCGTTTTACAGAACATACTGATAACCTTAACATTATTCATTATAAACCATAATCACTGACCACAGAATATGTAGTAGAACATGTCAGAATAACTCTAAGAAGCTCCATTAAGTCACCTTTATCACTTCACTCATAAACATGATAGTTCAAGTTTGACCATGGAGAAGAGAAGAACAAGAGGAATGCAGTGACTCACCTGATTTCCAAACAGCCGAGCTGCAGCGCCATCCCATCACTGACCTTACTAGCATGATACTGCATGTAATCACTGCGCACCTATGATGTAGCAAAGACAGATTGGAACATATTCATGGTATAACAGGAAATTAGCCCATAGCAGCACATGGTATTAGATGGGAATTATCTTAGCTTTATGAAAATATAACCAGATGAGACAAAGTGATTTCAAGATGGCTTATCTCTTTAACAAAGTATGACATAAACACTTCTTCCTGCCATCATCCAGTGACAAATCTGAATTCTATTCAAAAGTCAAAATGTTATGAATCCAATAAGCTCTAGCATATTACCTGTTGGTACAAATATACAAACGTAGATCTGTCGTCTTTGAATTTTTCCAAGAAATTGACAGGAATGTATCTGATACGAAGGTCATACCTGCATTCAAAAACAGAAAACAGATACTCCATGTATATTGTTCATATGACACGTTCCTTTCCAAGAAAAAAAAACAGATATCAATGTCCCAGGATTCAATCTGCACCTCCACTCAGCTTCTACATGATGGCTCTCGTAGCGTTGCTCCACCTCGCCTACAGTCAGATCTGGATGCAGCCAGTGAAGCTCTTCTGACTTCAGGTGTTTCAGCAGGAGACCGTAGCATCCTGCGTGTTCGATGTTCGGCCCCAATCGACCGCTGATCAGAATCGATCGAATAATAGCCTGGTGGAAAAAGGACAAACTTTGTTTACCCTCCAAAAGAAGTACCACCAGAATCGTTGGTCCTCAACATGACTACATGGTAGTTTATATTAGCTTAAGTGTAGTGGTTGATGAATCAGCTTTAAAAGTCGGCCCGAGGGAGAACTATGAAGAATATATTTTGCAATACACTGACGAAGAGATGGGAACTGTATGTGCAGATATAACAGTTTTATTATCTCTCTTGCATGTTAAGGATGCCAAATCTGATCTCTGGCTCTTCTTCTAATACTTAATCAAATCTCAAATTGAGTTTTCTGACACATCACCTCCCTTCACCCATATTTTTCTTAGATTATTCTCACCCTGATTTGCCAGGAGCTGTCACATTTCACAAGCTTGAAATTCTTGCCCAGGTTATTGTTGGTGCAGAAACACACTTTGAGTATTTTGATGGGCCCTCCATCCCCAGTGAAGAGCGATTCTGGGCTGGGCTCTGCTTCACTTTGTCTCGGACTGGGCCCCTTCCAGGCCAGGGTATCCCCTGACATCACCTCGTACATTGTCAAGGCTGGGTGGGCATCATCATACCAACAGCATCCTTTGAAAAAAAAAAAGACACAAAAACAACTTTAATAAACGTGGAATGAGCTGTTGAACATCCGATGCTGAAGTCTTGATCTTGAATGTAGAGAAGAGAAATTAGATGGAAGGAGGATAGCCTTGTTTAATAAGTACATTCTAATATATATATGGAATATCTGAGATTGATACCTGTTCCTATTTAAGAAGGAAAGTCTCAATGCTTAGAGATACAGAGGTCCACATAATTAATTTTGTATACCTAGATTAGTGAATTTTCTTTTAATTCACATTATGATACATCATCCACAAATTGTTGATCTGACCTCTTAAAGTCCACAACAGACCGTGCTGAGAGTATTAAAAATAAGTGAGTCAGGGCATGCTCTGCTGGACAAACTATGTCATGACACCAGTATTACATCACCCGTATTAAATGTTCTCTAGAAAAAGTATTCGCCGGTATTATTGATGCACATAAAGCACATAAATGATATACATGTAATGAGTCAGTATCGGCCCGACAGCTTTATAGATCCGGCTCTGATAATTAGGTACTCGTTTTCACATTTTGATGGTCCAGGAAAAGCAAAAATCGAATTTCTTAGATTGAGTAGTGAGCAGTAACAATTTTTTACACAATAATACCTCCTCACAGCACTAACTGTCATCTATGCTTCACCTTGATGCTGTGATATTGTGCCATGCCCTGTCGGTCTATGACTCACAACAATTCACCCTGAGATGCTGCCGATTACATTCCTTCCTCGCCGTGATTTCAAGTGAGGGCCTGTGTGATTCATACAGCGAAATTGTGACAGTGTGGAGACATGTAGCACATATAGCAATAAGGGAAGCTCCTCAAATGATGCCTTCTTCCTGATTGCAAAATAAAACTACCATTTTTGTTTTTAATTAGTTACAACTGACTTCAGTGTGGCAGAGGAATCTACCTGTCAACAGGCTGTCAGAAATAACGAAACGGGTAATCCCAAAACCACATAACACTGAATAACAGAGAGATGACTGTCATGGCGTAGCTCTGGACTGTTATGCAATGGCTAGTGTAGATTAGCATAAAGACTGGAAACAGGGTAAAACCGCTGAAGTGGCTCTGTTTGCTGACAACAATAGATGCCAGAACAGGGCATCAGAGGCGTCCTACTTTACAAACTGTGTTCCAGTTGTTTAGCACATATAAAAAAGGTAAAACCTCACATTTGGGGATTTAAATGTGTTTTTGTACCTGTACCTTGTTGGCAGAGTCAAATTAATTCCTGTGATTGCAATGAGGTTGTTTACACTCAACTTTTTTGTGATGGAATTTTAAAAAATCGGGATCAATTTGTTAGCTAGTTAGCTTCAGAGGTGCTAATGTGTTACCTCTGCACAGAGCCAGGCTTGTTGTTTCTCCTCGTTTCTAGTCTTTAAGCAATGACTAACTACTCGTGTTAGCTTCAAATGAGAGAGTCTCTGTTCTCTCAGGGTCTTCTCTCCCCTACATCAAACTCCTCTGAATATAATGCATTTAAAAGACTTTGCCAGGGGGGGGGTATGTTCTAAGGGATGTTTTTCCCCTCTAGGTTCAATAGTCAATGTATTTTCCCAGGGTCGATTTGTGAAAAGCACACTACAGCTTACTGTATCTCTTTAAGTTGATTTCGTATGCCTTCCAGCCTGTGGCCTTAAATTTGCTAGTTAAGCAGCTATTTGATTTTAAACATTCATATCTTAACAGTTGCTGGGCAAATTTTACCTTTAAAGTGCATTAAAACTTCTGTCTCCCTTTACATTTGTCGCGAAGAATACCTTACCAATCAAGGCTGGAACATGAGAGCCTGGAACATACGTCTTCATATTTACCAAACAGAAATGATAACTCTTTAAACCAAATCTTTCCAAAAATGTCCTGCAGGTCCTTTAAAACATGAATACCACATAGGGAATAACACCAAGCAACAGCAGATTCTTTTCCAACCACTTAGCTGTGAACAAACAGAGTTTGTTACCAAACACAGTAAAAACTTCAGCACTCAGCTGCAGCCACAACTACACACACAGAGAAAAAGAAAGCTTTCCACTGGATAAAACCTCATTGCACACACATTGATTGAACTTTCAGGTAGAATTTAACCCTCGTAAGGGCGGCAAACTACTGATGCATCGAGTAAAAAGAATCAAGAAAATACATCAAGAGTTGAAGTCAAACTCCAGTCCTCCATTAATATTCTGGCCTGTCAATCATAATCTTCAGGCATGTTGACTCAGCAAACACAGAAAGATTGAGCTAAATTCCTCGACAACACACCCAGCTGTGATCAGAGGTTTCTGACAGTTACCCACCTTACGGCTGAGTCGTCAGGAAAAGTGCCCTCTGGCCTTCATAACGTTATTTATTTCTCATAAATGAAGCTCCATGCTGTTAAGTCTGCAGTGCGGGAGCCGAGCTGTGATCGTTTCTGCTGTTGGACGGGGTTGTGTTTTGTTAGCCTGAGGCCATGAATTCCCCAGCAGGGCCGTGTGGGTGTGTTAGTGTGTAAGTATGCGTGTTTGTATAGTGAGAAAGAGAGAAAGGGCAAAGAGAGAGAAAGAGAGAGGATGAGTGTGCAGCATGGACGGCATGTTGCACCATCACCTGGGTGTGGGAGGCCGGAGAGGGGGGGGGTGGAGAGAGAGAGGAGGAAGAGCAAGAAGGGGGAGTTTAAGAAAGCTTACACTATGAGGGGCTGTGGATATACAAGTACAACCCGGTGTTTATGTGGAAGACATAATGAGGCAACCTGGAGACATATATACATTACATGTTGCTACACATTCTCAGACAGCATTGCAACATCTGTTGTGTTCAAATATTTTGCTTGTTTCAGTCTCGAAGATTAATTATAGACGACACAGGAAGGTTGGTTGGAATATGTCAATTAAGAGTTTATTATCTATAGATAGTTATTCATTACTCATCGAAAAACAACAACAAAGGAAGAAAGAAAGAAACACGTTTTCTTAAAGTCAAAGTTCAAACTCTGTGACCTCGACGGTTCTGGTTTTAACAAGTATGTGAGACCTGATTCTTTTGTAGTTCTGGTCTTTCACACTGAAACACAAAAACCCAAAACAAGTACAGAATACAGAAGGACTGGGTCTTGTCAAATTGGGCTTTTAAGCAAATAGAAAAAGAACTTCTAAATGGCTATTGTATTGACTTATAGTAGCATGAAAGGTGACATAATGGCCAGGCACCATCTTATCTTAAGGAGCTACTAGTGCCGTACTACCCTTCGAGAACATTACGGTCCCAGAATGCAGTACCTACAATCTCTAAATGTACTATGGGAGGTAAAGCCTTCAGTTATCGGGCTCCTCTCCTCTGGAATCATCTTCGTCCGGGAGGCAGACACAGTCTGTATTTTTAAGAATAGACTTAAAACTTTCCTTTTTGATAAATCTTATAGTTAGTGCTGGTGTAGACCAGCTCCTAGTTATGCTGCTATGGGCTTAGACTACCGGGGGAACTGGCACCTTGAGCTCCTCTCTCTCTCTCTCTCTCTGTGCATATACAGTACATCATACTACTACATGTATCTATCTGTAAATCTCAGTCATTAACCACCTACTTTCCTGGGAGCTCTTGAGCTCTCTTAGCCTCCTCAAGATCGTTGGTTGACGGCCTGCCAGAACAACCCCCCCCCCCAACCGGATTGTTGATGGACGGCGTGCCTGAACAGTTTTTTCTTACCACTGTAACTTTTGCTGCTTTGCTAAAGTGCTCATGATGGATAGGTCGGGTCTTTGTAATATAACAATAAGTAAGGTCTTTTACCTGCTTATTGTAACATAACAATGAGTAAGGTCTTTTTACCTGCTCTTTTGTAAAATGTCTCGAGATAACACTTGTTATGAGTTGACGCTATACAAATAAAAATTGATTGATTGATTGATTGATTGATAATGAGACATAAGTGACAGTGCACCATGAAGCCTCTCAAATGAGGCCAGTGTGCACATAATAAAGCCATGATATGTTTCCACCTCTATGGAACTCAGCCATCATTAAAGTAAGCTTTGGCTCCTTAACTTTTGTTTATTCAGCATGTGTATAGGGGAAAGACTTTCTTTACTGACCATAGTTTGTCTTTAGCCCGGAGTATCTGAGAGGTTTAAACTGATGTTGAGACAAATCATCTATTTCAAGTACCTCAAGGATTCAGGGATACTCCAGTGATATTATTTCCAAACAAACTGAAAGACAACATGTAAGTATAATGACTAAAATAGCAGCAGTTTCTAGTTATAGTGAACATACACCTAAACTGAAGGTCTAGATCTGTTAACTTATTCCTGATTCAGATATTTAAAGATAGGAATCACAATCTAACCAAACATTTACACTGTATTTTCTTTTTTTAAAGATGTATTTTTGGACTTTTTGGGCCTTTTTATTCGAGAGACAGGACAGTGGGTAACGTCAGAAATCTGGGATAGAGAGAGTGGGGAACAACATGCCGGAAAGGAGCCACAGGTTGGACTCAAAGCCAGGCCGTCAGCTTGGAGGACCACAGCCTCTGCACATGGGGTGCGCACACCAACCAATAGTCCACTTGTGCTCTCATTTACACTATATTTTTATGTTTGTTTTTGTACGACTATGTAAATAAACTTTCTATTTCTTAAAGTATCAAAAAGTCACAATCACTGTAAAAACACCAGAAATACAATAAACGGTGGTATGTTTGTGTCAATTTGTTTAAAATCCATCACACACTGATAAAGGTAAAGGCCTAATATTGACTTTCTTTATTTCGTTGTATACTGTGGATCAATAATTTGTAAGAACGGCAGCATTATCCAACAGCCTGATCGCTCATAAATATCACAAATATACTAACATTATAATGCAGAAAGCAAGTCTTCATCAATCTTTATTTTCATGGTGCCAAATCATAACAAATGTTATCTGAATCTTTACATAGAGCAGGTAAAATACCTTACTCGTTGTTTGTTTTTTAAACTCTTACAGCCCTGAAGTGTTTCTTCTACTTGTTTGTCATAGATCTAGTTTTTTTTACAAAAAGCAAGTCAAAATTTCAAGATCACGCTGTTGTTGCTTTTTCTCCCTGTCATGCTTGCACTTGAGTTGTTATGGTAACAACAGTTCCCAAGGGAGATTTTTATCAGAAAAGGAGAGACTAACTCCATCACCATACAGTCACAACAAAGACTGCAACGGGCACTAGGATTTGAACGGGTGACCCTCCAGTTCACAACCCAAGTCCCTACTGACTGAGCGACTGCCGCCCCATATATTCAGAACCCAAGACTTTTTCCACATTCCCAGTTATTCCTCCTCATAGCGGCCATACTTCCGATCTGAACTTGCGTGCTCTGTTAGATATGAGCTCTTTCTCCTGGTGCGATGTCAGGAGGTGACTGACGGGGGCCGGATTTATAGGGACAGATTGTGACGAATGAGAATGAAGTTCCACAGCAGTCGGTGGAGAAGCAACAGACTTCCACAAGGGCCTCACAGAGAAAACGACGAGGCTTTAGGTCACTAGAATCCTTTCGCAATATGTTTAAAACGATGCTTGTATTTGAGTGATTCTTTGTATCATAAATTCAAAGTTGGCCCCAAATAATTACACTGATATTCATGTACTTGTTTTCCATGCTATCCAATAATTTGGGTTTTTGTTTATGGCAAATAGGAGACGTCAATCAAAATTGTACATTATTTAAACTCCTAAATATCAGTATCGATCAGCCTACAGGTACTCGATTCTTCTTCTGTTGACAGTGGTGCAATGGAGGATCGCTGCAATCTGTCATGACATGCACTCCAGATTGTAGTAAGCCATTTGTTGCCTCTAAGTGTCAGGTTGTTTGCTACAGGTTGTATGTTATAGAAAAAGTGTGAGGTAAATGAAATAAACCTGAAGTGAGGTGACCTGAAGTGGCTTTCTATCATTTACATTAATTTGGCAAAAGGATGTTTTTGTTTTTTTTAAATAAAAGCATATTCATTGTAAATCTGTAAACTGTAAATCTGTGCATTTCAAGCTTCACTAGGCAGATATGGTAGTTTCTTGTCAACACAGGCAAGCATTCAGGCAGGCATTCATGTGAAATGTGTTGTGCTGCTGAGGGGTCTGCACACTGCACCGTCATGACCCCAGGCACTGGAATGTAGAGGCTGCTCCTCCACCTGCACAGACACGCTGTGATAATGAACAAAGTTCTCTCTCTCTCTCTCTCTCTCTCTCTCTCTCTCTCTCTTCTCACTGTGCCACTAAAATCAGTTTACTACTATGGAAGTGCAGTTATTAAAACTTCAAAGTTAAGTTGAAGATTTTGCATGGTCCCACCGAAAATTAAAATAATATTTAAAAGGAAGACATAGATGTTGTTTTTAAAGATTTGAATAGAACACCTATACTTTAAAACTTGTGTAATGGTGTAAATACAGGCCTCGGCGAGGCGTAAATTGCGTTAATCTCTATAATTGCGGACCTTCTTCAATCACTGATAACTTTTTCAGCTCAAACTCGGCATATTATTTGAAAACCCTGCGCAGAATATAGCATACATAAAAAAAAAACTTGTATTCTTGCGTCTTACCTGGTTCTTATTGATTTCCTCAGAGAATAAAAGCCGGACAAAGAGCGTTATTCCTCCTGGAGAGTCCAGGCCTGACAGTCTGTTTGGGGAGCAGGAGGCGGCAGGTGGCCACTCCCTCACCTGTGTACTCTGCTGGAAGAAGGTGAGCCCACCACTTCCTTATTTCTGAAGTTTCAAGAAACATGGCGGTTGGTGTCTGGTTTTTTGTTTTTGTTCCAACAACGTTATCGTCACAAATATCTTTCTCAGTCCTACTTGTCTTTTTCTGCTGAGTCTCAGGGGACTTTTGGACTCTGTTAGACTTCCGAATACTTTTAAAAACTACTATAGCATGCAGCTCTAAAACACGTCGTGTATCCAAGTTTCATACGCGAAGGGGTCACATTACTCAGTATTTTTCACTTACATTTATAGAAATAGGGCCATGTCTGTGAAATTCATATAAACCCTGACCAATCCTTTCCCTCTGTTTTCCCTCCGTCTCCCTCGGATGTAATTACGCCGCCTGACCAGTAGAGAGCGCTACAAGCCAAAGAAAAGCATTGCTTTAAAAGTAACTTTAAAGGTCCAGCTCTGTTTTAACGCTGAAGTTTTCAGTCATAAGCATTAATTTAAGCAGATAAGAATTTAGACTGAGCATAAATGTTTTGTAATTATTCAACAACATGTTCTTGAAGCGTTATTCAGAGAACAGTAGGCTATATAAAGTAAAAGTAGGAGTGAAAACATTCAGGTTTATAGATGCAAACGTTTAAAAGAAATTGTATTAGATAAAGTTTTTACGGCAAAGCCATTCTGAATAATAGGCTAATTACTGAGGTGCCTGATAGATAGGCCTACCAAAAGTGATAGAAAACTGAGATTTTCTTGAGAATTTGGGTATGAATGTGGCTTTTGAAAGAGGCCTATACGCAAGTCCTGCTTGTTTGTCATCCTTAAATTAATCATCCAACGTTCACTGTGTCTCTTACAAGGAATGAACAAAGTTTTCCTAAGTCTAAAACTAATAATAACTTATCTTGTTAACAACTAGTGTGGTTTGAACTTTAACAGCAGATTATAACTTTGATTATGTTGTTGTCTGTAGTGTCTGACTCCATCTTAAGACATTTGTGTTTTGCTGGTGAGTTAATGCAGCGATTTCATTATCAATCAATCATTCATTATTTGTCCAGCGCCAATTCATAGCAAATGTTATCTCACGACGCTTTACAAAAGAGCAGGTATAAGACCTTACTCATTGTTATGTTACAAAGAAATACAAGTTTATAAAAGCAAATATTCAAAAGCTTTCTTTGAATCATTGTAGCAGAAAGGCTGCCTTAAACAGCCAACATCTGAGTTAATGCACACCTGCTTATACTGTGCAGTGCATTATGTAGCATAATAGCTTGTCTTACTGTAATTTAATCATTTATTATATTATTGTGTTTTTGTTGCCAATGCATCTGTATCCAATCTGTGAACAGCAACTAAATGTGACGGGTTGAGGCAAAGTTTATTTAACTTATTCATATAGCACTCCAGAGTTTAAACTTAAGAAGATAATACAATTAAATTAACTGATTTGTTTCAAATTGAAACTATGATCTGCATACATGTAAAATACTTTTTAAAAATCCAAAATGTATGTCATTTAATGTGATGTCATTAAAAACTCCTTTGCTGCCATCAGCACAGGAAACAAAATGTGTTATGAACATTTCATAAGTTGATGTTGTTTCCTGCTGTGTTTGTAAGATGCATTGATTTTTGAAAACTTTATTGGCATATTTAATTTCTCTCTTGTTGTATCACCCAGCTCTCCTCTCTGTGCCAGAGCGTTTGGCATAGCTGTGTGGAGCAATGACAGCTGTGAGGGAGTTCAAGTCTGGGTTAGAACGATACCATACCGCACCCAGCAGCACCCAGCAGACCTGATCGGTGTCAAGGGCAAGAATCCCCAACAGGTGCCGTCCAGCTCGGATTCATATGCATTCAGACGGTAGCAGAAACGGACTGTGCAGATGGTGAGTTCTTGCAGTTACAATGGTTTCACTGTTCACCAGGCTCTATGTGATCATTAACACCAACTATTTAAGACCCTCCTGCTCTGAAAATACTAAATCATCATCATCATCACATCCCCCCCTCCCTACCGAGCCCATGGGTGCCCCCTCCCTGTAGAGAGAAATAAAACCTCATGAGTGGCTGATCGACATGCTCATGCAGAAACTCTTGCTCTTCTCCAGAGAGTTCAGGGTGTTGAGGGACGAGTGTCAGATATGTTACGGCAGCGTGCTGCTTAAAATATAATTCACTGTGGATGTTGAGATTCTGTTAATGTGGGTCAATCGACCAGAAAGGTTAAAACACAGAATTGAACATGGACTGCACAGTTCTGTTTTTCTGATGTTTCATTTTAGAATCAAATTTAAAAAATGAAGAATAATTTAGCCATCATTTCTTCAGTGTAGATGAATCCTTTTTTTATCATTAGATCTGGAGCTGCAAATACACTTTTTTCATATAGGGGGAGAAAAAAGTCATGTCTTAAATGTTGTAAAGTTAACGTATAAAAAAAAGTTCCGTCAAATAGAAAAACTTGAATAAAGTGCTTTAAAATGTAACTTCACTACACTGTTTGGGTTACTGCACTGAATTAGCTTATTGTAAACTTCCAGATTATTCTCTTCTAGTAGATATAAGAATACTTAAATTAAATTAAGAGTTTAATTAAAACTTTACTTGGTCAGGGTAAAAGGTATGATCATCAAAACCAAAAATACTTTGAGTATCAAGTCAAATAGTTTGATATAGAAATTGGATAATATTCTGTTTATGTTATACTAACAAATCAATATATTCCATTCAGAAGAAAACAACAAAAACAGTTCCTGAGCAGAACTCTAAAATGGTTATTTAGGATTTAAAGAAAATTACTGTAATAGAGTGAACTGACTATAGAACAGATCAGAACGATGTTGGTCAAATAAAGAGTAGATACACTTTTTTATCATTACTGTCACTGATGTTGTTTTCCAGTAAATATTCACCGTTGCAAAATGAAAATCTTCTGTGTGATTAGAATCAAAGAACTGAATTGTTTTTTATATCTTTTTTTTCGAGGACCAGGGAGAGAAAATAGCTTTTTAGCTTTTTAATGTCTTTGCTGGCTGAGATTTAACTAACTGAACTGCATGATGTTGGAAAGCATCCAACATCATGTTTTACAAGACAAATAAATATTTTGTCCTTTAACTTGTGATCTGTTAAATAACCAGGGACTCTATCTATGAGATGAATGTAATAATTTTCTCTTAAAGTCACTTATTTTATAACCGTTTTTACATCCAATCCTTAATTTGTCCTTAGAATTTTAAAGACACAGAACTTACGTGACCTGATAATATGATGTAGTTTTCTATTTCTTTCTCTGTTCACAAGGATATTCATAACACAAATGATCTGTTTATGCACAAAACATGTTTTTAAATGTTTTAAAATCAAAGGTGAGTGTAACAGTGTAACACATATTCTCCAAACTTGTGAAGGCGTTTACCTCCAGATGAGCAAATATGACTTTTTAGCCTGGTATTTTGAGGTCAAACCTTTTTGACTCCACTGAACCTATTTTAAGATTATTCTCTTTTATGGGGAATAAAACCTCTTATGTCTCTGCCTCCTGTCCAAGCATCCCACCCTAATGACCACAGACCCCACCCTGGAAGCTTGCTGTGCAAATAGTTCACTTGGTATGCTTTGAACATAAAGGTCTGCCCCCCCCTCCCCCCCTTCTCACAGTTACTCATTTTAGAAATCTTCCCCCACCTTTTGCCTGTTTAATAGACTCAGGAATATTTATCTTTCCCCTGATGGTCATTAAGTCCACATTCTTGCAGCAGTGATCGCTGAGGTCAAAATGTTGTTGACATCACTCCTGTGAGTAATGGTTTCTCTATTTGTTCACCTTTTGACTTGCAGAATGGACACCTGTAAGACAAAGAGAAGGGACACAAGAGCGCTGGAGGAGGAACAGGGGAGTTATTTGCTCAGGGCAGCAGGTGTGTGTGGGAGTGTGGGTCCTTTCAAAAATGGGGTGGTCACCGAATCCAGACTCAGCGGGGGACCACAGTGCTCACCGAGGTGTGAAGTGGCCTGGGCCAGGAGCGGATTATAAACCTGTCGTGCTTTACAATAGAGGTGAGAAGCAGCAAGGGGCCCTGGGTTACAGCTCAGCAAACAGGACAAACTGCACATATCCCAAACGTTAAGAGGGGCTGTGAATGGAGACCTGCTGTTTGAAATGATATACAATTAAACCTCCTGCAGGAAGAAGTATAAAGGTCACTGTGGTGGTCATTAAACAGCGGGTCATTAAAGACAGGTTAGACCTGTAAACAAGACAGGTTTGATACCGTCACAAAGGGCGACTTAAATGATCACACTGACTCGCAAATGTTGTGGAAATTGAGTGTTAAAATAAAGCTGATTGGCTGATTATTTTGTTAGATTGGCAAAAAAGTGTAACTTGTGTCAACATTAAAGAAAGGAACTGAGAGGATTATTTCCAGTAACTCAAATCTCCCTCACTGTGATTAAGGCTGTTAAATAAGATCAACTAAATCGATCCAAACAGAGGAATAAAGAGTAATAAATATAGATGTTTAGAATCAATTAAATTCAAATTAATTACTTTCAAGAAAACAATCTACCGTGCATAAACAATTTTAAGTTGTTTAAACTTGAAAGGAGAAAGGTTACTCTCCTAGGATAAACATTATGGATCTAATACAGGACCATTTTGACCTTTAAATATAGATTTGTTAAATCAGTTTTCTTGACAGGCACTAGGTAGAATCAATTTGTTTATTTCAGCAAAAATAGTGAAAAAAGGTGCGCCAGTGGGCCTTGTGGTTAGGTCGCACTCCTCATGTATAGAGGCTTTAGTTCTCGAAGCTGGCAGCCCGGGTTTGACTCTGACACCCTAAGCTCTTTACCTGCATTTCTGTCCCTAATTTCCTCCTCTATCCACTGTCCTGTCTCTAAAATAAAGAATTTCTTTATGAAGAAAACAGGATTCATTTAAACCACTATTCATTTAAAAATGAGCTTTAATTTTGAAACTGTAAGCTTACCACTGCTTTAAGTGAGATACAAAATGTACAGCCCCAGGCACATGGAGTAAATGTTTTTTTATTTTGTTGAACCCTTTAAACTCTGTGGGATAACTCACTCTAGAATGAGGTTTAAATTCCAGCTCATACACCTGTTAGAAATGCCTGAATGTGAAGGTTGTTTTTTTTTAATGTGGTGACTTTGAACTTTCTGGCAAAACAAAGCAGCCGCCCCTGTCAGAACTTTGTTTTACTTTCCAGTGACACCCCGAGGTCTTTGGTTTGTCTCCGATTTGTTTTAGCGCGATGTAGGAGCATGAAAAGAACTGAACTGGGAGACAGGGATTTCTATCATTGTGATTATTATCAAGTATACGTTTCACACAAAAAAAAACGCAATGACCCCTTGATTTCCAATAAGGTATGATGTATTAAGCTGAGGTGACACATTTACCTGTCACTCTCCCCTGACTGGATCTTAACGAGGCATTTGGGGGCTGTCACCGTTGTGGGTGTAGTCGGGGAGTGTTGGGACACGTTCAGAGGGCAGTGATGGCACGCCTGGCATGCTTCAGTGGATTTTATGTTCGTCAGCTGCTCAGGGCATCAAACAGTGTAATGACATGACAGAGGTCAGTCTTCATAGTGCTCTGCTGAGACACAAAAATGGAGGAAAGATGGTTCAGGATGTAATTGTAAGCTGGTTTATGTGCATCTGTGTCAAAGAATTTAAAAAAGAAAACATAATTACAGGTGCATACTATCGGGTAAACTTCAGGCGGCAGATTGAGATTTCTTTCTGATAGCCAATAGAAAATAAATGACTGGTAAAGAGGGATGAAGAATAGAGAAAATGACATGACATCCATTAACTGTATATAGCATTGATGCAGTGTCTCATCTTATCTGAAAAGTAGTTTTTTTTTATTTGAGTGGAGGTTTATAAGTGATTCTGTCACTAAATGCTGAGGGAGTTTGGTTCTAAATGGGGATGCAGGCAGGTTGTTATTAAAGACTCAAACATGATGATTCAGGGTCAGTACAACCAAATAAAAAGAGAAAAAGCAAAGATGATTGAATGTTTTCTAAATGGGACTACTTTCCATGAAAGAAATAGTCGCTATAAAAGACTGTTGACAGCAAGGTTCAAGATTATCAAGATGAACACTGACACTGGACTAGAAAAGAAAAAAACATGTTTAGTTGTTCAAAAACCACAAACTAAATTTCAATGGCTTCAGTTGTATCACAGTGGAGACAGAAATGTAAGAGTCTAATAATTCAAAATCAAGATAACCTATCAGTACAAGATGCATATTCTGCAAGCGCTGCAAACTATTAAACTACGTCTTAACAACCAAACTATTAAATAACCTCAGATGCACTCTTGCATTGATTTCCATGTGTATTTCTTTTTTTACTGTCACAGGTCATCTTAAATTACTTCATAGTGTGACTTCATATATGATTTCCATGCTTTACACGCCTTTAGATAAAAGTAAATGTGTGCAAATCAACATGCAAAGAAACATGTCCCTTTAAACTGAATAACCTTTTGTCAGCATTAAACTCTGATTGTTGTTGTGTTAACACTAAATGAGGTAAATTGCATTAAATTGTCGTTTAGCTGAACTGCTGTCCTGTCAGGTTAAAGGCAGGGAAGAGACTGATCCGACAAACGTTCACTCATGCTTCCTTTGAAAACGCTCTCCTGCACCCTTCCACTCTCACTGACACACACACGCCTGCATGCACATGCACATCCACACAAACAAACATCCTCCCTCTCACCGCACACAACCTCGCACGGAAAACAGAGGGGGGAGGGGCAAAGAGAGGATGATGTCAGCTCTGTAGACGGCTAAGCCGAGGCTTGAGATAATGGTGACATTTCAGGGAAGGTGATGTCATTCTTTCACTGCTACCTCCTCCTCCCTTTCTTCCCCCCTCTCCATTCCCTCCTCCCATCTCCTCTCCTCATCGGTGCAGGTGGCTGGCCAGGATCAGTGCAGAAGAATTAGCTTTTGAATGGTTTGCAGGCAGTGTGAACCCAGCCCCCCATGCTGAGTGAGACTCTCATTGTGTGGGTGTCATGTGTTTGAATGTGGGTGTAATGTGCTGTAATATGTGGGTGTATGTGCATTTTTCTTCGCTGTTAACTGAAATTTTTTTGTTTTGTGGTGTTAAAGCATTTGTTTACACAGTATGCGAGTTCATGTACCAGCATGTGTATTTTATGCATATCTATGCTGCCTGTGTGTGTGCATGTGTGCGTAGATGGGATTTCTGCCCTCCATCCTGCTTTCCCACTGAGACCAATCAAGCATAGAGCTGCAGGCTGCAGGGCAGGTTGGCACTGAGTCCCTCGCTGAGCTCCTCGCCCTAAGGATCTGCTCATTTAAGGTTTCCCTGACTTCACACAAGCCCTGTTTCTTTCCAGAGATATATTATATAATGTGCTATAGTCAGTGGTTCAGTCTTAAGCATGTTTTACCCTCTAAAGCTTTAGTCTGACTGTAAAATTCTGCATTCAGAGACAAGAACTGTGTGCAATAAAATCGCATAAACACTCCTGTTTGGTAAAAAAAAAAAAAAGCAACTTTCCACTTTCCAGAAAGTTTAATCCTTGGCATTTGCATATTATGGAGATTTGGTTTAACCTACTTGAGTGCACTGGGCTGATTGCCACAGATAGCGATGCTTCAAAGCTTAAAGGCTGTTGTACCTCTAGTCTCTCCGCTGAGCTCACCGGCAGTATTTTTATCCCTTAAAACTCACCGCTGCACTTTCACTCTGCCAAGTTCTGCTATACACTGTCTTTCTTCCCCTGTCGAGAGGACTCAAAGCAGCGTGTGTGAGCTGTAAACAAGTTCCCACCCCCCACCCACACCACACCACACCACACCACACACACACACACACAGGCTGTATCTGGGCAAAAAGAGCTTTCGGAAACCATAAGCATCTGCCTTATCATATGATTACTTTTTTTTTTTTTTTTTTTTTGGGTATGTCACACACTTGAATCACGGGTTAAAGCGCAGAAGGCTTCCCTTCACACCTAGAGGAAGTCGAGCAGAAACCAGAGCACATGTTGCAGCTGAAGAAAGAACAACTGTCCACGGATGTGTGCAGGAACATGAGCAATAACAAGGCAGCATGGCAGCTAAACAATGTGGAAGTGTAACACATGTCATAAGATTATTCATTGCTTGCTACACAAACCCTGTGGCTGTGAAAAGTCTGGTGGTTTTATTTCAATTCTGTAGTTATTTGTCGTTTATTTAAGTGGAAAAAGTACATTTAATACATTCATTTAAAGGCAGGTAAACATTTGATGTTCACTGGGAATAGCTGGAAGATAATTAGCATGTATGCAAAGCTTTACAACCGCCTTTTTCTGAAAATATACTGTCAGAAGTTAAGAGTTACATAACAATAATTCAGTGTTATTGTGTTTAAAGTTATGGCAGGCTATGTATAATATTACAAACGAAAGGAAAAGCTTCCTCCAGAGGGAAACAATAGTTTACTTTGCTTATGTGTTTGTGTTGATGTTTCAGCTAAGCGTGCCTTAATCCCATTTGCCAAATCAGAAGCCTCTGTTCCCACACATCCACTGTTTTTACATCTTATTTGACCTGGTTTTTATTTTATTTTCACCCCTGTCGAGAGCATTGCACCTGTACACAGAGCAAGATCAAAGTTAATGACTGAATGATGACACGTAATGGGATGTTTACATGCTAGCAGCCGTGTCGACTGATGAAAAGACTCCCATCTTTATGCCGAGGCTTCAAAGCAAACAAAAAACTGGCACGGTGGAAATATTTACTGTACTTGAAGTGAAAGGAAATGGCTTTTTTTTTGTGTTCACAGAATCTGAGAGTTAAAACCATTCAGCATGAAGTGCTGCAAGTGCGTGAGAGGTTGGAGATATGTAGCGTGCAACAGCCATTTTATATTATGAGAGTAATTCCACTCCATTGCGTCTCCCTAGGGAGCCTTTTTCAGTCCTGCGATGCAAAGTAAAGTTGATATACATCATTTTCACTTTGATTGCTTCACCTGATGTGAGAAAATTGTGTTGGTGGCTAACAGCATGTAGCATCAATTATTGAAACCTTAATATATTGCGTGTGCTCTTTGAGTTATGGCTGTGGTAAATCATTCATATCTCTGTGGCTTTTGATGTATATAGAGACTTCAATTCCACTGGCTCTGGCCTCTCCTGTAACACTCATCTGACTCGTTGAGAATATGGAGGAAATGATGGAGATGTGTCATGTGATGGGAAGTCGTTCCAATTTGCAGAAACAACAAACAGGTGCAGATGATTTACCTCGCAACCCTGTTGAGTAAACACACAATCCGATGTAGTGACAGATGGCATTCAATCCAGAAACATTCATCTGTGACACGCTGGTAATCATGATGGAGGCTCCCGCAGGACGCCATGCTGTCAGGCTGATGGACTCATTAGACACGCATTAGTGTCTTTACAGGAGACGGCCCGATTCTATCAACCCAGGGCGGTTTTTGACTCTAGATGCGTACAAGAAACACTAATTAAGATACTAGGATGTTCTCCTGTACCTGAGGTGTCACCCTGTTACCTAAATACTAACTGCTCAGTTCGTCAATATTAAGTATCAGCAAAGGTACAGAGCTGCTGGGGGATCTTAGAGGTAACTGAGTCAAGTCAGAGAACTGAAACTGTGTGGATTTCTGATGAGGTTTACTTGATGTTTAACCAATCTATGACTTCGTTTTAAACTATAAAATAAAAAATAATGCTTTCTTTTTTTTTGTTCACCTGACATTACAGTCATCTAGTTTCATGGTTCTACTGTTGCACTTTTCATAGTATTAGAGGATGTTCAGTATTTTAGCAAGACCCACAGAGTCATGATTTGAAGTAATAATACTTAACCAACAGCAGGAATATCCTGGAGCAACTATCAGATTGAAAAATCGACTATTAGCGATTTCTAAATTAGCAACTGCTTAGCTTAGCATTAGCTTAGCTTAGTTTAGTACAGGAAAAATGGAAAAAGGCTTGACTAATTCTGTGCAACAATGCCAAGATCCACTAAACAGCACCTCTGATACACCAATTATCCTTTTCATTATTCATTTATACGATAACTGAAGTATATTAGTTTGTTGTGTCTGGGGCTATCAGCCTTAACCCGTTAATCACAATGTGATCAAGATCCGAAATTAATGCCTACATTTCTTGCTATTTTCCCCCCTTCAGGCCCACCGTAGCTTAGCCACCACACTGGCAGCTACATCTCCCAATAATCCTAATTAACTATTGAAATTCAGTTATTAATCACTTTTTTTTTTTTTAAATGATCGTTTGACAGCCTTAGTTTTGTCTTGTCTGGGAGCTACCTTTCAAGAGTGTCTGCTGGTTGCCCGGCAGTCTCGATCTTTTAATGAGTCAATCAAATTAATCAAAATAAAGTGTATAAACTAACAACATTGCACAGCTAACAAGCTGTAATCATGATCAAATGTCTCCGTCTCAGTGACCTACATGGCTTCAGACGACAAGTAACAAGGTATCGGACATTCCTGGGGTGGATATCCCCTGACCGGGTGACGACATGTAATGGGAATGCTGTGATGCACTGTTTGCACCCTTTGACACCAATTGTTGGCCATCTGGGCCGTGGCCTTTCCTTTGAACCCCCCTGATACATGCACACGGCTAATGGTCATGAACTACAGGTGGCTCCTGAGGGGTCATGGGGGTCCCAGAGGGAGACCACAGAAGAGCTGCTTAGTGGATGACATCACTTAATCCCGATGTGTCTACACCTCAATCACCACAGGAGAGGCAATGTAGTGAAATGTGGGTGTGTGTGGGTGGGTGGTGATCCCATGATGTCATTGTTTGCCTCCGTCCCCGACCCCAAAGTCCTGTCCACCCCCTTAAACTGAGGCAAACACTTTTGCTGCTATTTCTGTCCGCCCGCATGCCTCTCCCTGGACTTTCTCCTGAGCAAACATTCACTTCCTCTACTTAATCTGGGTGAGGACTTCAAAGACATTTCTCGAAAAAAAAATTCCCAGAGACGCAACCTGTAGCGATTTTCAGGGAAAAAGAAGTCAGCGTTTTGGACGTTGTGGCTGTCTTTCATGCCCAGTCCAGTCAGATGAAGCTTAATTCTGGGAATGTAACTGCCCTTCAAGGACCAAAAATATAAATCAAACTCTAAAAATAACTCTGTAATGTCCCTTAATGATCTAATTTAAGATATTAAAAGAGATTTTTAATCAGAGACGAACAATTGCGGGTTTAGCCAAAGAAGAGTGTGAGAAACGCTGACTTGTTTGTTTAAGAATAAAAAAATAGTTGTTCTTAAATGACAGTGGGGTTGACAAACAAATGACAAAAGTGTCGAACATCGTCCTCCAAATTTTAATGAGACGTCCATAGTACATCCTCTATTTACATTAGAAAGATCAAGAATACATAAACATTTTTCTATGCCCTAATAACAGAGATACATGCAGGACAGTAACATCTCTTTTATACTGCCAGATGCTTTTTGACCCAAAAAATGTGAATGATGGTTTATGTCTTTTTTAATTAATTTAGTCAATATGAATGAGTCAGCGCTGTTGGATAGCTTTTAGGAAAAATGTAATTAAGGGATCATGTAGCTCAGCTCACTGTACATTATCCAGCTTAATTTGACAGAAATTTTAATTTGCAAATAATTTTAGCCATTCAAAAATACTTTATTCCTCTGGTTGAATCTGCAGTTACTGATGCATCCATTGTGACGATTAACAGGAGCCTTTTCTAAATGATTTA